ACCCGCGATATAAATCTGTTTAATTGGCTGAAATCTGGTAAATTAGGATATTTTAGTCGAGCCGCGGATGATATACGCCTTCCGAAACTTGTAGGCGTGCATCTGAGTTTTCAGCGAGAAAAATTGCTGAAATAACTCGTCCGTTGCAGTGAACGGGAGCTCACACAGCGCAATGGATGCGAGGTTTTACTTTTATGACGCGTTCTGAGGACAGTTGCTCTTCCAAAATCTCCAAAATGCCTCCTGCTTTTGATGAACAGAGTGCTTCACTCTTCATTACTGCCAAGCTAAGGAGAAACAACTTAAAAGCCTTTGGACGTTGCCAATTTTCTTCGATAAATGATGAGAGATGGCTATGTTTTTTCTTGGATTATTCAGATGGTTTGGATTAAATTGCAAATAAAATTCTCTGAAAAATTTGACTAAAAATATTCACAGAACTCCATGAAAATTCGTATTTAATCAAAGGAGATTTGGCAACGTTTGTTGGCCCATACGGCGTTTCTACTTAGCACGGCAAAGGAGTCCCCCTCCTTATTCTAACAGGGCCGGATTTATCTACTTGCCGCCCCCTTCTCATTCGTTTTGAAACATCAATAAAAACCATCAAATGAACGTGCCAGCGGAGGAAGGGTGCATAAGACGCGTTTACTCGTGTTGAGCAAATTTTTCGGGAAGGCCTTGTCAACAATACGAGCAAAAGTTCACGGAACTTGGCGCGAAAGTTAAGTTTTGTAAACCTATCTCTGTGTGGACAAGGCTTTCCTATCATGAGAAATGAACGAACAAATTATGAAAGAACAAACATAAATGTGGATTAATGATTTTAACTTCCACTGCCGCGCCACGCAGACCGCACCGAGTTTGGCGCAATGCGTGAAGTATTCAGACAGTCTTGTAGGCGCTATGAGTTTCACGCCGGACGACCGCTGCTGAACGCACTGAGTTTGGCGCAATGCGTGAAGTATTCACGCAGTCTTGTAGGCGCTATGCGTTTCACGCTGATCGCAATGGCCGCTCTGTGTTTGATGCAATGCGTGAAGTATTCGTGCAGTCTTGTAGACGCTAATATGTGTTACATGCTGATCGCCGCACCGAGGGCTTCTTCTTTTCATCTCAAGGCCTCGTCATCATTTCTCTCTAAGTCGCGCCGTTCCAGGCCAAATTGCGTGTTTGGTTTCTCTCTTGTTTGTGTTCTTCAGTAGCCACCGGAAAATTTGCGTACTATTATGTGCCGCAATATTGAGGTGAATAACGCGTAATTTTAAATGATTTTATAAAACCGTTACCTTGTCTCGTGGTCCATGGAGGCTATAATTTAAAAATTTTCGACAGAAACGCGCAAGTTACAAAGCTTTTAAGAGGGTTAACATTAACAAGCTCAAATACGTGAATCGTCCGACCCGCTCTCGATACCTATTGGCCGTTCCCTGACCGAATCGCCGGTCGCATTCCAGCCGCGATCAGCGATCAGTCGCTCGACGTTGCCGAGTTTCGGAATCTCCGAATTGCTCACGATGCTGACCTATTCAGAATAGACAAGACACGCGAGAATTAGCAACGCGGCGATTGACTATTAAAGCTGCCCGCTCTTGACTCCTGGTTTCTTGAAAAACTCGTTCCCGCGTACCAAGGATACGGGTCGCGAAATCATTTTTTCCCGCGCGAGCTTCGACCGATCGTACCTTGCCCCGAAGTTCACGAAAAGTTCAATAACATAATGACAACTTTGACGCAGTGGAGTGGCGTGCTTTGCGATCTATCGATATTTTCCCATTTGAAGCTGTGGTAAATAATCGATTATTAAGGTGTTCGCTGCGAACACCCTGTTAATCGATGTTTTTCCATAGGTTTAAATGACCGATCAATCGATATATCGCAAAGCACGCCACGCCACTGCTTTGACAGGAGGGGGCGGATAATTGGACGTATTTCTATCAAACGGAACTATGTGCATTAAGACATGAGCCCTGAGACCCATAAGAATACACGTATACCAGGGCTCACGTCATAATGCACACAGTTCCGTTTTACAGAAATACGTTCAATTTGGATGGCATTTTGCAAAAACGAACCGAAAGCATTCCAATTTCGCTAAGATTGTGCAACTTTTCTCACCTTGCAAATAGAAACAGATCGATCTAAAAAAGTTTTATCTTTACTCCCCATAAATTATGAATTCAAGACGAAAATCGCCTTTGTAAATGTAATTATTTTCATAATTTCTGTAATTTTTTTGCAAATAATTTAAGTAAGTTGTTCAATCCTAGCCACATTGGAATGCTCTTGGTTCCTTTTTGCAAAATGCAATCCATTCACTGTGTCTGCGAGATTCTGGTAAAGAAAATTACTGACGTTTTGCTAACCTTCAGAATCCTTTTTCGGACTTTTGCCAAACGATATGAATCGCATTTAGCAGAAAAGGGACCAACGCAATTTTATCGCAATCGTGTATTTTCATTTTCACCTGAAAAATGCGCATGATAGTTTTTTTCGTACCAAAAATGGTTAGTTTTAAAGTGTAATGCTCTGAGAATTTTATTTCCGTGACTGTAAGAAATTGCAAGATTTTGAAGACACTAGATATCATCGTTTTGGTTCCCTCCTGCTATATGCGATCCATATTGCGACCGATATCGATGGTGAAACTGAAAATACTTCTCTTGCAAAAACGCTTAGCTCGTTTGCAGTGTTTCAAAATCTCTGCCCACATTTTATTTTATCAAAAAAGAACAAGCAAACATTGTTGCTTGAAATTGAAATTTAAACGGAATACCTATTTTTCACGCAGGGAGGAAAAATGTGGGAAGTCCTAAACAGGGTTGCCATCTGATCTAGAAAATGAAATTTCCTAACAAATTTTGGTGAAATTTCCTGACAACTGAAGATGTGCCACATGGTTGATGAAACATATTTAGAAGTGGTTTTTCGGCACAAATTCGTGTTCGAAAAGTCAGACCCATTCTAGAAAGCAAATAAAGGTGACATAACAATTTTCCCCTGACTTTTTAAAATTCCCTGACTGTGGCAACCCTGCTTAAAGAAATGACGTTGAATGTTTTTCCATTTGAAATTAGACCAGGGAGTCTGCAGCGTTGCAGACGGAGATACGCGTTTTTACAGTTGCAGGGTCGACATACATTTGGGGTTGATTCCACAGGGATAAAACCTGTTATTAACAGGATACTTTTACCTACTGATACTCATAAATACACGTGCTTCAATAGAAAATGCCGCTCTACTATGTCATCAGCATGTTTGGATTATGAGGAGAAAAATATAACAATAACTGTAAACTGAGCACATTAAGAGCACCTGTGCCATTTTTCACGAGAATATCCCGGCATTCACACACGTCAGGCAGACAGGCGAAAACCCAAGATTTTCCTTCATTTGCGCGTGATACCATAAGCTTACTCCGGAGTTCGAATAGTTGCGCGCTTAGGTCCGCTTTGAGTTTTATAAAACATTTTTAAGCAAATTTCCGTGAACATTCAAACACTGCACAATTTTTTCAGCGGTTTCATCAATTTTCATCTCAGTATCGCAGCACGACTTTCCGGGCGAATTTCTAAAAATATAAAAATTATGCCCAACCTATCAATGGCCAAAGAACGAAACTACGTATCTCGGTTTGGAACGTTGCAGACTTACTGTCACACATTATTTTTTCATTGGAAACCTAGTCAACAAATTTTCTTGAAAACTTTCTTAATTTTTCTTCTTTCATGGCAAAATATTCCATAAAAATTTTATGCTATACGAGTGTCTTCTCTCACTTCAGAAAATGAAGTAAGTAGGAGCAGAGATTTTAAACCACCACAACCGAGATGGGTGGTTTTGCACTTTAGTCATCGGTGTGTAAGGCTAAAAAATTCCCTCATCCAAATTCACCGTGATTAAAATTTGGCACATGAGATTGATCGAAAATTTAATTGGAATAAGGTAATGGAGAATTTGCATGCAAATTTTTTATTGCTTCATCTAAAAGTGCTGAAAGAGCTGATTTCACTGTATTTTTTATAATTTTTTTCTGACATGGAAAATAGTATAAAAATAGATTTAAAAGTGAGAAAATGCACCGCCTAGTGACGTCATCTGGCGGCATTTCCCATTTAAACACACGTATTTTAGCAGATTAGATCATTTTGTCATATCTTCTCCAATAGTTGTTCAATTCATGAACCAAGGGTACCTTCGTGTTCAGTTCACTCAGTAATTTCCACTTTAACACGAAATTCATCAAATCTCAGACACCTGCAAAATCTCTATTGGGAATGAGATCCTTCACAAATGCACCTGTTACCGAATTTCAAGGTTCTCCGTCAATTTCAACTTTGCGTGGTATCCAATAATGAGCACTTCAGTTTTATTTACTAAGTTAAACATGTGCTCCTGCATCTCTAGTCAATCATCATGACTCAAACACGGTATTCAATTAAGATGTTCTCTTTTCATTTGTGCATGCTTTGCTAAATTTATCAATTAAAATTCTATCCCGATTTATGCTGTTCACCAGCAGTAAATGTTAGTGTCAAGATCCAGACGGAGGCAGTGTGACGTAAGCTAGCCCCATCTTTGGCGAAGGGTTACAAAGAGTAACTGATCTAATGCCGACGTCTCTCAATATTTCATTGGTTCATTCAAAAATTCCACCCTGAACACGCAGACGGTTCTAACATCGATCATAAAATGAGGGTTAGGCTCGTTTTGACGTTTCTCCGATGTCTGTTGAGCACGGTAAACTCTCAGAGCAAAGTGAGAAAATTTTGACTTATCAACAAATCATGAAATGGCTGGATGAATTCATCGTAGAAAGGTAATGGACAGGCAGGCAGCCTGATTCTGCAACTTTGGACTTCGATACCTCATTCATGTCAATACCTGTGCCTATGCTACGGTATAAACAATACCACTCTGACGATTAAAAAAAGTCGTAACTTGAGATACAGAATTAGGCTGTTGATAACAATTTACAGAATTATCATTAGATAACTTACGTAAATAGACAGAATACAAGCAGGATACAGGAGAGAGAGAGATAACTTTACGATGCTGGATGCTGAGACAAAGATCCAGTAAGTAACAAACAATCCGGGAGCACAAAAATTGAGCGAAACACACGCGAAAAAACGTCAAAACAAAACTTCAGTTTCACTATCGCCGATGAAGATTGCACACCGCGCACTGCTACAACTGCCACTTGTTGAGTGGGCCACGATTCACGACAGCGACGCGATACAGAGGTGAGTACGAGAAATTATAATTTTCTCGGTTCCACAGGTGATGTGCCGATGTGGAGAACGTTTCGAGAACCCGTCCGAAGCAAACGCGAGGCTTACCAAGTTACCAGCGGAAAAAAACAAACTAACGCTTGTTTACTTACAGCGGCAACAGCGTAAAATTCACTTGCGGCATTCCAAACAGATGGCAGCACTAGTCCAACCTCAAAATAGAGCTTCATCCTTTCACCACTAGACAGCAGCACTTTCCGATTTGTTAAAAAATGATGGCTTTCAATCTGTTTGTTTTTATTGTCAATAACAAAATTTCGCTCGAATTGAGAATTCTCCTTGTTACCACTGACTTTCTTGGTATATAAAAGAAATTGTAATATTTAAAGAGCAATTTTTTAAAACCTATGGCTTAAATATCAAAATTTCGCGCTCCTTCCGGACATGCTGCGGTGTCCGAGTGGTTAAGGAGTTGGACTCGAAATCCAATGGGTTCATCCCGCACAGGTTCGAATCCTGTCCGCAGCGTGATTTTTAATTTTTCTTCGTAAAATTTGATGTGTGACAAATTCAAAATATTAGGAGGATCCTACAATTTTTATTTTACCTTATTTTTTCTCCCTATCCTAATCTGGATTACACCATAGGCAGATCCAGGCATTTCAAACAGGGATGGCNGGGGGGGGGGGGGGGGGGGGGGGGGGGGTCCGAGAAAATGTTCAACAATTTAGAGATTTATCATGCAGCCCGCGTCAATTTTTTCATAAGTAATTACCAAATATAAGTATCCTTCTTCCTTCCTTCTTTCATTCTTTCATCTCGTTTTTCCTTCTTCTTTTAGGTCAAACGGGGGAGGGGGGAGCGTATGCCCTCTTCGCGTGCTCCCCCTCCCCTCCTCCCGATCATCCTATGGACTATACCACCAGAATCATGCAATGATGCACGGAATGAGTGGTGGTGTTCATTTAAGTCAGATATTTGTGAAGAGAAAGAGAGGAAAAAATAACCCAAATTGGAATGTAAAGATTTTTATTGCATTCTACAGGTCTTTTTCGCAGAGCTTTTCCAAATTTTCAGAAGTACATACACTCCCTGCCAATGTAAAGAGCGGACGCACAAATTGTTGTTGCTTCCGCCCCTCCTCCCTAGAGTACCTGTATCCTCCCTCCAAGACAAAATTTTTAACTTTCATGATTTTATGTACTGCATCTTCTATCTTTTGCCGCAGAATTGTCTCCTCTGCTTCTCTTTTCCGAAAAGAATGACTTGATTTTTGCAGCGGCAATGGAACCTATGCTTTCGAGATTTTCCGGGGGCGGGGGGGGGGGACCAAAGACCTAATTATATAACAGAACGGCAACACTGTATTCAAAAAACAACAAATATTTTAGGTTAGGTTTGGTTATCAGTGTGTCTTTCTTGTATTAGCTCCTATTTTCTAATTTTTTTTTCCTATACAATTAAATATTCCTTCCTCGCACTTTTCCTCATCAGGCGAAAGTGTGCCTGAATTTGATTCAAACATAAATGACAACTATCATTGAAAAGTTTCCCTGGCGCAGACTTTAAAATTCAGTGATGAGTCAGCCTGATACTGATTGTGATAAGGTAATTTTTTCAAATTATACACCCTAAGCAAGTTCATCTCTCACTTAGATAGGCCCCTACGTATGTAATACCATTTTCCCCCTATAAATTAACTTTTAAGGCTAAATGACCCAATCTTTAGAATGCACCACTTTCTTTTCCCTCACAGTTCACTCTCCTTTGATAATATAGTTTTTTGAAAAGGTCTTGATTTTGAAAAATATATTCAGATAATTAAAGTAGCTGGTATATAGACTGTTATTTTTTCCTTTCTTGGTATGCAAGTTTCTATTTAACAGCATCACCTGTTGTAGAAATTAATTTATTAGTGCTGCTACTCTTTAGGGTGGTACTTACATTGCCCCAACCCGTAACACGTTGGCAACTGCATCAATGGAGAATTCTTAATTTTTGGATGTAATTAAATTTCAATGCCTGGCGGTATCTAAAAAACATAATGATAAACTTGTTAATTCATACGTAATATCACAGCATACCCATTAACACGTTTCCAGGTTATAGTTCAGAACCACAATCTTGGAAGTCTAACCAAGTCTGAGGATCTAAATTAACTGCGCCATTATGTATCTGTCAGTAAACGGATGGCTCGGATGAGATTGTGTGATACTTACTTTTATCTGCTTTTGACATTCCCTTTCACATTGACTGTGATTAAGTAAAAGTATGACCCAACCGTCCGCAGGTAGAGATCCAACCTCTCCAGAATCTGCATCAGATAAGATGGAAATCGTTGATTTTTGGCTGTGACACTCAGGAGACTCTCAAGTATTTGTGCAACGGTCAATCCTTGCTCTTGGATAACAGCAGCACAGGTGCTTGCAAACATAAAGTAAGCAACTGCCAACTCATGCGATATGGGCACTAGCAGTAAATTTTCTCAAATGTGATAATGTCAATCTCTCAAGTTAACCCTATTGTTGCAGGATGAAAATGAAACTGAAGGTGATGAAAGCTCAGAAGAAGAGGTTGAGCCTAAGCTCAAATATGTTCGTATGGCCAACGATCTGAAAAATATTTTATTCTCTGATTCCATCAGCTGTGTAGCAGTGCACCCAAAGGTAGTTTTTACATATTAGTAGTGTTATGCTTATATTCGATCAGCATGTGTAAAAATTATTTGTACTTTGGTATAATAATCCTCCCCACAGAAAATTATTTTTACATAATCATGGCAAAAACTGTTGAACCATACAATCAATTGTTATTCTCTTTGGTTAAGGAATGTTGCATTAATAGAGAATTTGCAGGTGTCTGAAATTTTATGAATTTCGTGTTTGGGTGGAAACCACGGAGTGAACTGAACACGAGGATACCCTTGGTTCATGAATTGAACAATAATTGGAGAAGATATGACAAAATGACCTAATCTGCTAAAATAGATGTATTTAAATGTGAAATGCTGCCAGATGACGTCACTAGGCGGTGCATTTTCTCACTTTTAAATCTATTTTTATACTTTTTCTCATATCAGAAAGAAATTATAAAAAACACTGTGAAATCAGCTCTTTAAGCACTTTAAGATGAAGCAATGAAAAATTTGCATGCAAATTCCTCATTCTCTTAAATGACTGTCCCATGAAGAATCTATTATAGCTTAACTCAGGGGCACCAAGACATCTCAATCACTGGTTTGGTTGCTTTAAAAAGTAGGAAGGCCCTCCAAAAGATTCTAATCATGAGGAGGCAGCAGAAATGGGTCTTGAAAATTGAAAGGCTAGCCCATTTCTGAGTAAACATGTTCATAATTTTTTTTTTTTTACAAAATTGCAGCAATTTTTCTATAAAGCAAATTAAGAAGAAAAAGAGAAAAGGGGTCATCTCTGGAATNGGGGGGGGGGGGGGGAGAGGTATTAACTAAGGAGGCAAATATCCTCTGCATCCTTGATCGTATTTGTAATGTTGGCAACACTTCTATCTCCCACCATTTCTTCTTGAGACTAAGTTCAACATACCAAAATTGCTGATAGGTACGTTTAAGGCAGATTAGATAGAAGGGTCAATAATCATCCAGATCGCGTGAAAACTTGGAAAGCCCGCAAAATCTTGGAAAGCCAATAGAAATAAAAGATTATCACTTTTCTTGGATGGTGCCTAAACCTCGATGTAGCATTCCGTGGAAGATTATTGACGCTTGATCAGATAGAGCTTTGGAAGGAGAGTGATCAGCTAATGGCAGTACTAGGTTCAGAAAACGTACGTCTTCTATCCACCCGGTTGTACTTTTTACAAACTGCTAGAGCGCAATGGTTGAACTATGATTCTAATTCTAGAACAAAAATTTGACCTCAAATCTTGTTTTATGGTCAGTAAGCATTGAATAACATCAAGGATGACAGTGACCCAGGTACTGATCATAGCAGGTTGTAAATTTATATCCATTTGTAGCCTCTTCATACACATTTCTCACAAGGTATTCTATGTCTTTGCTGTTTCAGCTCTTAGTTGTTGGAGCAAATTGGGGAAAGATTTATCTCTTGGATCACCAAGGTAATATTGTATCTAATAAAGCATTGAAGAAGCATTCTGTAGCAGTCAATCAAATCAGCATTGACATAAGTGGCGAGTTCATAGCCAGCTGTTCTGATGATGGCAAAGTAAGTGATGTCATTATCCAAATATTTTTTGTAGTGGTTCCACAGAGAATATTTCAACCTTTCTATGTTCAACAAAGACATTGAGAGCGTTTGAAGTTGTTTCTGTAATAACCGGAGATTTCATCCAAAATATTTTTAACAACAATATATCACATTTAATAAGGTAGAAAAAGTTAAAAGCATCAAAGACCTCTATAATAGTACAGCTTATTATAACGTTAATGAATTTTTTAGGACACTTTTTCTTAGACATGCAAGTTGCTCAATGTTATAAAACTGTTACATTTATTTTTCCTTATTCTTTGCTTTGGTAACTATGTTCTGTAACTTCGTCAAGATTCAAGTGCTGCTTATTTTTTTTGATAGTCAAAATCCTATTTTATTTTTCATCTTTATTTACATCATTCATCAATTTCTCAGGTTTTTATCTGCGGACTGTGTACATCGGACAGCAATCAAGAACTCTCTCTGGGGCGCTTGGTCAAATCAGTTGCAATAGATCCAAATTACTACAAGCTTGGTTCATATAGACGCTTCGTCACAGGTAAGATATCCTTTTAAGTTTCACATGGTTCACCAGTTCACCATTCACTTCAATAGTTCAGTAGCTGGACTGCCTTTGGAGCAGTGCTAAGAAATTTTGTGTGATGATTCAAAGAAAGAACTTCTCAAATGGAGGAAAGATTTGCCGCCTTGAATTTGCTCACGATTTGCAGTGGAGATGCACTTGTAGATAAAGCTTAAGAAAGGAAAGTCAGCTCTGTGCTGCTGCCGTACTAGTTGACCTCGTCTCTTCAGTGTCTTCAGGTCGTCTCGTTAGTCTCTTTCAAATCTTCCGAACAGTTTTTCCCCTTTCTTTCTCTGTCAGAAGAAATTGAAATTTGCCGCCTGATTCTGCAGCAACATTAGCACTCCCATAAATCATGCTTTGCCCTAGACTACTTTTATCTTTTAATTTCTCGTAGGACCTTGACATTTTACTCACCAATTTCTTATTTTTAATCTGAATAGTTTGAGAATTTTATTTTTAAGGTATCATTATGTTTTTTCTTGACTTGTTTTGCAGGTGATGAAAGGCTAGTGTTACATGAAAGAATATTTCTAGCACGGATAAATTCTACTGTGATAGGAGAGGCAGAAGGTGGTGTTCAGAATATCAAGTGGAATGGTCAATTTATTGCGTGGGCGAGTGATCATGGGGTCAGGGTCTACGACGTCAGTGCTCACACATCTCTCGGATTTATAAAATGGAACAAAGGCTCATTGTAATTACAGTATTTTTATTATTCATCCATTCATTTTATTTATTTGTTTATGTTATTATATTTAGAATGAAACTTAATCATTTAAGTGTTAGAGAGCATTGTAATGTAATTCATTACATGCTCTGTTAAAAAAAAAAAAACTTTCACGTAGCTTAAGCGTGTAGACCCCTTGATGATTTAGAACTACAGTTTCAACTGAATATTCCGCTTAATGCACCATTTAGACACAGAATAATAACAGTTATAGCTTTGTTCCGAGATAGAAACGGGTTCCTTAGTCCAGAAAATTGTTGTCTTTGATTACGAACGTTGAATTCCACAACCAGGGAAATGTTTCTTTAAAAAATACTGAGGATCATTGAGTGGTTAGTTGTTGTATTACTAGTTTAACTTAGGAGCACCAGTTTTTATGATCTGTAAAAAAATCCCAATTTTATTTGTTCATTCACAACTTAATTTCAAAACTTTCTTTTCAAAGCGTCTGTGAAAGGTATCGTTTGCTTGAAGAATGAGGCCCTTTTGTTTCATATTCAAGGTGTCATTACACCCCTCACATATACTGTTCTTTCAATATTTTGTTGTCTTTACTTGCTTAGGTCAAAGGATGAAAATTATCGCTGCAATTTATGTTGGAAAGACAGCAATACTCTTTTGGTGGGATGGATAGATACTGTCAAAATTTGTATCATTCGGAAGAGGAAAATGAATGAAATGTACTCACAAGATATTCCCAATTACTTAGTAGAACCAGGTATTAAAAGGATATTTAATTATTTCACCATGATTTCTGTGATCGTTAAGGTATTAATAGTTAAAAAATACCAGTACAACGATGGTCGAGTAGGACTCAACCATTGCCATCGCTATCACTGCAACATGACATATTAAAAAGAAAATGAAAGGAATCTTAATCTCTTTCCATATGAATAATAATAGTAATAAAAAAATACTCTCTCTAGAAACTTTGTGTCAACTTCAAAATCGATATTTCAAAGATATTGATTTTTAGTTACTGAAAGAGAAGCTGAAGAAGACAAAGAAGAATTGATTGATCAATTTTTCGGAGAACAGTTTTCAGTTAAAGTAAAATGTTTATTGATTTGTGGATTGTCATTTGATAAACTCTTTAATATGATAGATGAGAAAGCATTTCATGTCTTGACCGGTCAGAAAATTCTGACTAACCATAGAGTCAGACTTTTTTTCTAAATTAAAGAAATAAATAAATGCCAAAATGTTCCACCTTTAAATACTCTGCCAACAGTTGTCTATAAGAAGGCCAGTACTTATAACTATGTTGGCAGCTTTAATTGGTATTTAAGCTCCTGTTCCTCTTAAATTACATACATACGAGTCGCTGTTATAGCGCTCTTTGGCGCTTTGCGACACCTAATCGCCACAAAGCTCGGTCTTCCCACAGGTTATCAGGGAGTTGACACTCCCTCATCTCACTTAACACCCCCTGTCGCCAACCTCTCACTGGGCGTCCCCTACGCCTCCTCCCAGGAGGAACCCAATCAAGCATCTTTTTTGGCAGCCTCTCTTCCGTCATCCTATTGACATGACCATACCAAACAAGTTGTTTGGTCATGACGTCGAACACGATGTCATTTTCGACTTCCATTATCTGACGCACTCTATCATTACGGACCCGATCTCTCCTAGAAATTCCTGCCGACCTTCTCCAGAAATCCATCTCCGTTGCTCTTAGCATATCCTGTGTCCGTTTCTTCAGCTGCCAAACTTCACATCCGTATGTTAATATACTTTTTACTACAGCGTTGTATATCCTCCTCTTGTTATCTTTGGAAATCCGCTGATCCCAGAGGATTCCATTTAACATCGCTATAGCCTTCCTTGCTAAGGTGTTCCTTTCCCTGATAGCTTGATCCGTCCTTCCATCCTGGGTCAACCGCACTCCCAAGTACTTGAAGTGCTCGCAGCATTTGATCTGCTGCCCATCCTCCAACTCAATGCTTTGCTGATCACCACCAAAAGTCATCTTCTCAGATTTGGATATGCTGACTTCCAAACCCCACTTCCGATATTCTTCTACTAACTTGCGCATCATGTACTCCGCGTCTTCTTGATCTTGAGCAACCACCACCTGGTCATCAGCAAAGCACAGAGTGAACAGAGTTTCAAGATCACCCAAGGGGACACCCATACCAGAACACTTCCTTTTCCATTCCTTTAGCACACATTCGAGGTAAATTTTAAATAATGTTGGCGACAAACAACATCCCTGTTTTAAACCCTTAGTCACATAAAATCCCGCTGACAACCCCCCATGATACTTAATTTTGGTAAAACTCCCTTTATAAAATCGCTTGACAGCATCAATCAACCCCCCGTTAAAATTCGATTTTTCCAAGGCCTCCCAAAGTTTCACCAACGGCACACTGTCATACGCTTTCTGGAGATCCACGAAAATTAAATGCAGCTCCTGAGCTACGGCCATTTTCTTCTCAATGACCTGGACAATAACAAAGAGGTGATCTATCGTAGACCTGCCAGCTCTAAAACCAGCCTGCTCCTCTGCTTCGTGATCCTGCCATTCCTAATTCCATCCTCTTAAATTAGCCCTAGAAAAAAATTATGTTTCTCTACAGTTATTCTTTTTAGTGTCTCAGGTCATTATCTGCTTTCTTAGTAACTGTTGGTGTCAAAGTCTCCTGATTTTCCAATAACTTGAGGTTTTTCTCTTTCATTAAGATCTTATGATTAGATTTGACAAAGCAATAAGTATTACTTGTTATTACTGCAAGTCATGGCAGCTCACTGATTATATCGTTTCAGTGTCAACTTTCAATACGGATTTCATCATAAGTGGCATAGCTCCGTACGGGTTGCGGGAATTAGTTGTGCTTGGTTACTCCAAAGAAGTGGACGATGACGGAAAACCTTTAAGGCCTCATCTTCATCTACTAGAACCTCAAGCAGATGATTACATAGATATGTATGCCGATAATCTTTCTCTAAGAGGCTATGTTGAATATGCTGCCAACGATTACAAATTAGGTAAGGTTATCAACGTTATTAACATTATAATCATTTAATAGATAGGTGGAGTCCTCATCATTATCTAAATAAGAACTAAATATACCTATGGGTAGACGTTTTGAAACACTGTCATGGTGATAAAAGGCTTTGCAATTTGGCCACTGATGTACAGGAAGAAATCTGAAAAAGTTATAGAAAAAAATTCTAAGTTCTTCAACAATTTTGTACTTACTCCATTAGAAGCCAAATTGCCAAGCTGTATTTTGTCATACCGATTTTTAGTGTGTTTTTGGAAGGATGTACACTATTTTGCGATGAGATTTGTATTTTTAAAGTAAGAGATGAAGCTCTACATAGCTGACTCATAATATATACATGCTTTTGTTTTTTCCGAAAACATGGTTGCATCTTTATTTTTTGTCTGCATTTTTCATGAAATTTCATATCTACAGTGCAGAATATTTGCTCATATTTTGATCGCTCTTTGTTTACAGAAAATTTATCCGGTGAAAATTGGTTCATCATAGTCAGTCCAAAAGATATAATTATAGCTAGTTCTTTTGATGCGGATGAAAGAGTTGAATGGTTGATAGATCATTGGTAAGTAGTGGGTTGTGATTATTTTCCTGTGGAAAATTGTTGATAAATTCAAGTTTCTGCTGCTGTGTTGCCAAAAAAAATCTATGCTCCTGTAGTATTCAAAGCATTGGTAGGTGCAGAGAGAGCACTGGTATGGTATGGAAGATCATGGATGCCAAATAGACTATTATACATGTATGATATGTGGATTGCATTTTGCAAAAAGGAACCACTAGCATCGCAATGTTGCTAAAATTGTGCAACTTCTTTTGTCTTGGAGGAAAAACCCGATTATCCATTGATAGTTTCTATTTTACTCGCTAAAAACTGTAAATTTAAGACAAAAATTACCATCTAAATTTCATTGTTTTTCACGATTTCCGCAATTTTATTGCAAAAGATGAAGTTGCACAATCTTAGCATCATTGCAATGCTAGTGGTTCCTTTTTGCAAAATGCAATCCATGTATGAAATCAAGATGAAACAACTTATGTGGTGTGGTCATGTACAGGGAGTGGCAGTATGCAGGTTGCCAAAGAAGGTCCTAGATTGGGTTCCGCAAGGGAGAAAGCGCAAAAAGTGCAAGTATTAAAGTAGAAATATAAAGGTGCTCAATTCCTGAAAGGTTGTGGTTTGATAGGAGGCTAGGGGTTGTAGAGCGCCTGGGGTAAAGCGACTTATATATTATCTCCTGCAAAACGAACAAAATGGACAAATTCTTCAATGGAAGGGATGATTTCTCTTTAAAGTTAGCTTTCAAGGTCTGTTATGTATATGTAGTTACTATTTCTTTGATTTTTCTTTTTAGTAAATTTGAAGAAGCAATGACTGCTGTTGAGGAAGCCGGTAGGGACTTATCTCGGAACAGTCTTCTAAGTGTCGGCAGAAAATATCTTGATCACTTATTGTTTGCTCAAGAATATGATCAAGCAGCAGAGCTTTGTCACAGAATTTTTGGTAAGTCCCGCCTTGTCTTTTCCTTGCATATCGATGGTGTAAATCGGCAGTCACATAACTCGGTTTGCAATGTCGCAGTTTTCCTGTCATACTTTATTTTTCAAATGGGAAACTACTCAATGGCAATTCTTTAAAACTGCCGTAATTTTTCTTCTCTATGCGGAGAAAATTCTTCAAAAACTTCAAGGAATGATGTCAATTTGTTCTCCTTTAAAAATATAACTTAGAGGCAGAGATTTTTAGACATCGCAAACGAGATGTGGGATTGCAGACTTACGCCGTTGCTCTACTTATTAAAAAAGTTTCTTTGAATAGAAAAACTATTATACATCAAGGTTTTTTTTTTTTTTATTTAAACTGATACCTTTGAATAATGGTGAAGGCACTTTCATGTGGAATATTGTCACACAGCTTGCAAGTGGAAAAATGCAAGGAACTTGTTTTAGAGATTTGTTTTTGACCAAAAACTTAATTTTGCCAACATCAGATAAAAGGGGCTTTACTGTTCTTTGTTTTGTATGTTCACAGTTTTTTTCACAGAAAAACACTTACGTTTTGTTTGATTTATTTCAGGGCAAGACAAGCGTCTATGGCAGGAAGATGTATACAAATTTGCGAGTGTTCATCAGCTTAGAGCTGTTAGTAGATACCTACCGCTGAAAGATAAAAAACTAGATCCTCATATCTATGAAATGGTTCTGTACGAATATTTGAAGTTGGATTCTGAGGTAAATAGTCTCAACTTAATAGTTCATAATTTATCATAAGTTTCCTTCAGAGTTCACCAAATAAATTTGTTCGAGAACATGAAACTGAACATTTTCCACAATCTTATATCATTCCAAAAGAACTCTTCTTCACTTTCTCTCATAAAGAGCTGAAATTTTGTGACCCATGGAGGCCGTTCATGAAGTACGTAATGCTCTGCAGGAATAGAGGAGAGTAGCACACCCTTATGTTTTCACATGTAACAGGATCCTACTTCACAAAAACGTAATAAATGGAAGGGCGTCCAAGAAAATTCCAGGTTTAGCATTGCATATTTTCAAAACGGCTCCTTATCGTTATAAATTCTTCCTTCTAATTAGCGTTTAGTCCATAATTTTTAGTCTTTTTAGTCCTAGAAATGAAAATTTTCTTATCAAGTTAGCTTTCCTTGCATTGGTAATTTTGTTACCTTTTCAAGTTCCTATAGTATTCTCTATATATTTTTTTCCTGCGTCTTAATCTCTGATTTTTTCAGAGAAATAACTTCTACCTTTTTTTCTCCAATAACTCTTTCCCTTTTTGTGCAGGGATTTTTGGACATCGTCAAGGAGTGGTCTCCAGATTTGTACAATGTTTCAGCAGTTGTAAATGCAGTTTTGGAACACCTTCTAGTCAATTCTAATAGCAATGTGCTCCTAGAGGCCCTTGCAATTTTATACTCTTACTGTGGGAAGTATGATAAATCTCTAGCCATGTATTTGAAGTAAGTTACAGTTTAACTTTAATTTGATATCCTTTTTTTTAATGTGCAATGTGATTTAAAATCTGAGTGAAGAACAAAATCTATGAGATTCTGTATTAACATTTCAGCATTATTAAACATGTATCAAAATAAACACTTCCAAGATTTTAGGTGGTGTTTAGCATGAAAACTGAATTTTTCCAAATGGAAAATGGGACGAACGCACTTTTTAATGAAAATTCAGAAACATTTCAATTTTTTTTTCCATAATCTTATTGTATTCATGTTGAATACATATGGCTTCCAATGAAAAATACTTACTCCCTATTGCAACATTCAGGGTTTTCGGCAGTTTGGTGAACCTTTAAAGTCAGGAAATTCATAGGAAGTCATAGAATTTCGTGAGTGGTAAGTGTAATTAAAAGAGGAAAAAGTTGAAGTGGAAATCTTAATAAAATTTTAGGATTTTCGAAAATTTTGGTGTCTGGGAAAAGTCATGGAATCGGAAAATGAAGGAATTATGGAAACCCTGAACGTTTTATCTTTTCTTGTGTTTTATTTACGAACAGAAACCAATCAACAGTTCTATATAAAATTTTCTGTGAATTTTTTTCACTTCTTCATAAATATTCATAGAAAATTGGAATGAAATATTTTGGTTAGCTTCTTTTTAAAAAAAATAGAAAATTATCAGGGATTTTCGAATGCTGCAACGAAGATACGCATTTCTATTTAAGGAGTTAATGGATAAAAAATAATTTAGCCCATTATAATGTTTTTTTTATTATTAAAAGGATGTTAATAAATGTATTTTATCATTAATTTTCCTCATTTAGATTAAAACACAAAGGCGTCTTTGCCCTGATTCAAAAGTACAACCTATACGATGCTGTAGTTAACATGATAGAGGGCTTAATGATGCTAGACACCGACCAGGCCATCAACTTGTTTATTGAGAAAGCAAAAACGCCTCCAGAATCTGTCATCAAAGCACTTCAAGATAACCCTCATTACCTTTTTTTGGTTTGTATACACTTATTTCCTTGTATGAGTTCTAAGCCGCGCCGTTCTCAAACAAATCTGATTTACATGTTTCTTTGACGGCTGCATAAACTTTCTTTTCAATGTTTTATTTTTTTTCAGCCAAAGATACTTATATTTTTTGAGAAATTCAACATCTCGTTGTCACTTTATTTCTGTAAATTGAATGCCTGCCTATCCAAGGAAAAAGAGCCCTTAACGTTAGGAGGAATTTTTTTTATGGGAGTATTACGAGGGGTATTCGTAAAGTAAGTTAATATTTATCATATCTTCTAAACAAATAAAGATAATCTAAATCTGTAAAAAGCGTTTGATTTTTCATACACTCAGCTTTCTAAAACGCTTCAGTTTTTTAAATATGGTTTTCTGAGTGCCGAGTAACATCAGTTTTCCCACACCAGTCTCTCGCCACAGCGTGTCCAAAATTTGCGCACGCCTTTTGGGGCGCTCAGTGAGTGTTACTCATTGATTTCTTAGGAGAAGGTACAACTATTGATGCTGACAGAAACTGAGTTGTCATGAAAAGGCTCAAATCAGCAATCAAAAGAAAACACCCTGGTTTTTCGTCTTGTCAAGTGGTGTTGCTTCATGACAGCGCTGGGTCGCATACAGCTCATGTGACCAACCAGTTGTTGATCTTTTAAATGGGACCTTTTCCCCCATTCCCCTTATTCCCAGGATCTCGCCCCAAGTGATTTACCACTTGTTTCCTGAGCAAAAGACGGGTTCTGGTAGAAAAAGTTCCGCGGACGCCGATGAGCTGAAAGAAGCTGTACGAAAGTGGTTGCAAAAACAAGATCGACAGTTCTCTGCTGATGAAATTAAAAAGCTCGTATCTCAGTACGAAAAATGTGTTCAAAAAGATAGGGATCCCGTGGGAAAGTAAGGTAAAGTCTTCTCATACATGAAAATATTCAATTTTGAACAAAAAATCGCATTTTGCAGAATGAAGTAGCGTGATACCGTCCTATGCGACCTCCCGAGCGCGCGTAAATTTTGGACACAAGGTGGCGAGAGACAGGTGTGGGAAAACTGATGTAACTCGGCTTTTAGAAGACCGAATTTCAAAAACTGAAGCGTTTTGAAAAGCTGAGAGTATGGCGATTCGAAATTTTTTTACAGATTTAAAATATCTTTATTTGTTTAGAAGATATGATAAATATTAACTTACTTTACGAATACCCTTTGTATTTGTCTAGTTTCATTCATGTAGTAATTTTAATTTCGGGTTTTGGAGTGAGAATATTCTGTTGTATCCCTCTTAATAATTTATGAGAAGTTTAGTTCAATTTTATATCATTAGGAGGCGTACAATTTTATTTTAATCAAACAACTTTGTACCCTTAAAACACCAGACTATTTGTCAGTCTATTAAGTGAAAAAGACAGTGAATTAGCAAAAAATTAAAGTAGTAATTATATGATTTATATCATCGTGAATATTAATTCAGATCCCTCAAGACATTTTACAGGAACGGTTTTCTTTTTTCATTCTCTTGACCAATTTTCTCTTTTTTTCTGATTCCAGTACTTGGATGCGCTTGAAAAACGTGAAAGCAAAGTCTCAAACAAGCAATACCACGGAATTCTAGTCAAATTGTATGCTAAATTTGCAAGAGAAAAACTGCTACCACTGCTAAAAAGATCTGACAACTACCCCATCCAAGAGGCCCTCAACATTTGTAAAGAGCGCTCCTACTACCCTGAGCTAGTCTATCTATTAGGTACTTATCTCGGCTATTAGCTATTTATATATGTCCATCTTTTCATTAAATTATGGTAGAGTTATTTCAACGAAAAAAACCTTGAAAAGGTAAAAAATAGGCGTTTTTTTGGTTATTGAAGTCATGTAAAAATACAAATTGTAAGTCGGCTATCATCAAAAAAGTGCTTGTTTTATATAGCTCTATGGTTTTTGTGCAAAACCAAGATTGAAATTAATTTTTTTTCAGTGATGTAAGCCTGTTTTACCAAATCTTAACAATACTGCACTTGCAAAGATGATCATGTACCCATGTAGTTGTTTGAATATTATCGGCTCAGAGCATGTTGATGGTAAAACTTCAGGAATGTATATTTCGGTTTGCGGCAGCCAGACTCTCTATTTTACTTCATTTTCTACTCGAAAAACTACTATAAAACATTTTTTAAAACTTATCTGATTCTTCCTCTCTTCTGAAAGAATATTCTGTGAAAATCATAAGCCATAATTTTGGTTTGCTCTCTCTTTAAAAATAAAATAGGAGCGCCAATTTTGAAACGTTACAACTAAGTTTCGCATTTTTGCAGTCTCACCATCGATAAGATACAAAACATAATAAGGAAAAATACTCTTAACGAAAAAAAAACACCCACAGTAGTACAATGTTGAGATTCACACAAATTAATTTGAAACATTCGTTATTGAAATCAGAAGATTCCCTTGTCGTTTTTACATTTTGTTTCTCTGAACTTCAAAGAAAGATTGAGAAGTGATTTAATTGAATCAACGTATGCGAAAACGTCCGATGTCCAAGACAGTGTTTTAGAATTTGAGTGGACAATTTCGTTGTAACTTAACGACACAAGATGGTTTAAGACGTTAGGAATGTAGAACAATTTCATAAATAATCCCCTAAGTGTAATTAAATGTTTACAAAAGAGATTGATCCTATTCATCAGTGTTGTGAGACAAAAGAAACCCACCGCAATTATGAAACCATGTATTGGACAACGGACGTTTTCCTATACGTCGATTCAATTGAGGAGCTGATTTGTTTCTAAAATTAAAATATCAATTTTATCCTAAATTTCTGTTGCTTCAAGCAATCAATTTTTACTCCTTATTTGAGAACACATTAAGCGAACCCTCATGAAACAATGCCCCCTTCTCCACCCTCTCCTCCTTCCCTGCCACAAGTTTAAAAATCCTTTTGTTTAAGGATGGGATACAATTATGTGATGAGATTCTATAGCTTGGCTTTACCTAGGCGTTTTTTTTAAGGTCGTATTGGCAATTCAAAAGAAGCTTTGCACCTAATGACCCAGCAGCTAGAAAACATTGAACAAGCAATAGTATTTTGTCAAGAGCAAGATGACCCCGATCTTTGGAACGATTTAATCCAAGATTCTCTGCCCAGGCCAGGTAAAATTTTTCAATCCTTGTCTTATTTATCACAGTTGAAAGCTGTGATTTGCGCTAAAAATCAGGAACCTATTAAAAAATGGCATTCGATTCTTTTGAATGGAATTTTAGACTGTACAGGGATTATGTAAAAAAATATCCTTAAAATTTCCAAGTAAAACTTGAATTTAACATTACTTTGTCAAAAGGTATCTTCAAAGAGGAATTTGCTCCTTGTCCCAAAACTTTTTCAGTGCTTCAAAACTTTGTAAGTCTTGATCGCTTTCAAACTACAGACTTGAAAGTCTGTGAGCTTACTTACACGTACTAAAAAAAAAACTGAATTCAGGAATATTAACTTTGCGTTTCTGTACATGTTTGAAAATTGGAGTATTATTTTTCTGTGATACTTAAGAAAAAATAAACTTCAGAGTTGAGATTTTTTAATTTTCCTCTCGAAATTTTTCGAAGCAGAATCCAAATATTTTGTTGTTTTCAGAAAAAATTGTTACCCAATATTTTGAGCTTATTGATTTAAAAAAGAAAAAAGAATAAGAAAAAATTGTGACAATATATCCTGGGCAAAAAATTGGTATTATGATTGACCTTATTTTTTGTTCTAATGCAACGTATTTCTTGGTGCTTTGTTTACAGATTTTTTGACCTTTTTGCTCCAAAAAATTGGTACTTACATTGATCCTACCATATTAGTGAAAGAAATAAAGAACGGTGACAAAATTCCAGGACTCAAAAACTCCCTAGTCAAAATGATGCACGATTACAATTTGCAGGTTCATATTATTCTGTCACTTTCCTATGCATGTTATAAACATTTCATGCTATTTTCCAATCCAATGGAATATTTACTATGTCTCTCTAAAAGGAAGAATAGACAAGAAAATGTAGATCTGAAAAATTCATTCAAGATCCTAACCCAATGTTTCAAGTTTGGAACTGGCGGATTTTAATGCAACTGTAGGCCATCTATTGGCACGAAAATGAGCCAACCGCTTGCAATTTATACTTACAGACACTGAGGAGGGTCTTCTCTTAAAATTTCAAAATCTGATCTTTCAAATTAACTCGAAAAAATCGCTGTACCCACCTAAAATTCTGTCTTCATGGTCAGAACTCCTGTTTTCCATCATTCATCGTATTTTAGGCAAATTCTTTGAATGATTTTTGTAGTCTTTTTTACTTTAATGTGTGTTAGAAACAAAGAATTAAAAAAGTTTACTTGGTCAAATAGTCCAGTGGGAGCAAAATACACCAATAAAATATTTAACTATGTATACTTTTATTTTTCTTTCCCAACAGGTTTCAATACAAGATGGCTGCAAAAAAATCCTGGATACTGATTATTTCAACTTACATCAGAAGTTCGTAGCAATGCAGAAAAAAGCCATTTGCGTTGATGGTATGATATACTTTATCCATTCACTATAAAAACTGCTAATGAATCTTTTCATCTTACAAAAGGTTTCTTACGTATTCCGTTTATATTTTAAGAAAATTTTGAAGATTACGCTTGGAGAGTTCCGTGCACATTCATATCAGTTTTATATTTAAAAATTCAGATCATCAAGTTGAGTTATCTGAAAACTATTCCGTAATCTTAGTATTTCCTGTATTTCCAAACCAGCCACCCAAATAATCTCAATCGACGAATGGTGTAGCATGAAAGAGTTTATTTTTTAATTCAGGGTCAGTAGCAATTCTTACGGAAAGTATTTTTCAAATTTCGAGGAAAATTTAGAACTGTCAATTAATGATGGTGCATTTGATCTGTTTTTCCAAGTAAATTTATAAATTGCCCTAGCACTCGGAAGGAAATCCTACACGAAAAGAATAGATTCTCTGCCAGCTAAATTTTGTTTATGACCTCATCAGTATGATTAAATTTAAAAATGGAACTTTTTTGATGTCGGTTATGAGAAGAAGCAGACTGAAAAGTGAATTTTTTCTGATTTTTAAATGTACCATGCAGTAGCTATGTTGCAATATATTAGGGATCGAGAAGAGCTCTTCTTTTCTCCTCAACCGGAAAGGTGAGACAGATGTAACTGCATTTGAATGAAATGACAATAATAGATAATATAAAATTCTCCCAAATAATAACAGCGAATTGTTAATTGTCGTGTCAACTTTCGAACGTGAGCTTTTCTGCAGATCTGACACAGCAGCAGTGCCAGGCTATGAAAAGAAACAATCGTAAAATATGGACTAAAAAATTAATGATTCAACCCTCCTCACCTTTAAACTGGCAATTAGAATGTTCATTTTGAATGCTTATTATATTTAGGAATTTCTAAAGAGCATCATATTAATAAATAACAAAATTTGACCAGCGCCGAATTTTTCCCTTTTCTGTCCAATCTCCTTTAATCTATTTGCATTTTAAACGCCTCCTGATTTTCCTTCCTCTTCTACCCTCATTTTTATCAATTTGTCGTTTCCTCTTACTAGTCATTACTTCATAGGGAAAATCGTCAATTCCTGATATGAGCACTTTACTAATTTTTTGTTTCTTCCCCACAGATTATCATGTTTGTGGAGCATGCCGGAAAAATATTTTAATGAAAGGTATGTAATCGTTTGTTTTGTTTTAAGATGTTTGCCCTCTACTGATGAGGCATTTGATTATATTTTGTGGCAGTCTTGAACTCTTTATGTTTGTCTCTTAAAAAGTTTTATTAGCAGGTTTGTTTTTGAATAGGTTTCAAAGGATCATGATAGGTTCAAATGATGAAGCGTCGCAAATAACCGACCTACAGCTCAGCATGAATAAATAGCCTAATGGTCAAAACAGAGTAACTGCTATTATAGGTGATTCGATGGACGCCATATTTTGTGTCAGAACGGCATGCGATATATCGCATCAATTGGTTCCATTATTTCAGCTACTCGTCATTTTTCTCCAATTTTGAGATCGCAATTCTGTTGTCAGGAGACTAAAGCACTCACTTACCAATTTTAACAAAGAAATTCAACGTAATAAAGGCGTGGTTTTTTTAGAGAGAAAATATCGCATTCGAGTGCAGTTTCGATATCAGTATCGAATACGATGTTTTCTCTCTAAAAAAACCACGCCTTTATTACGTTGAATTTCTTTGTTAAAATTGGTAAGTGAGTGCTTTAATCTCCTGACAACAGGATTGCGATCTCAACATTGGAGAAAAATGACGAGTAGCTGAAAAAATGGAACCAATTGATGCGATATATCGCATGCCGTTCTGACACAAAATATGGCGTCCATCGAATCACCTATAATAGCAGTTACTCTGTTTTGACCATTAGGCTATTTATTCATGCTGAGCTGTAGGTCGGTTATTTGCGACGCAATATTTGCACCCTACATGAGTGTGTCTATTCTACCTCTCAGAGTGATCAGCGCAGAGGTGTGAAAATTCTTCCAAAGAGTTCTCCGTCATTTTGGCTCTTCACTCTTAAAAACATTGTTTTAATAAAGTGTGATCCCTTTGAAAGGCATCAGGACATTCTGGGCTGTAGTAAATTGGTGGCCAAGGAACAACATAGAGAAAATACAGAAGGTGGTGGCAAGGCAGCCATCTTGAGGATTTGCTGTGACGTAGAAAAGTACACGGACTGGCGTGCTGATAAAAAAAAAGAACATTTCATGATGGAACCTGTATGAGGACCTACATCACCACTCAAACTAACATTGAAAGTCATATAATTGAATATTAGTTACAATTACTTTCCAATTTTTGCTTTTTTGACGCACAGAACGTAGTTTAACATGGTTATACCTTTAAAACGGGACGAGTCAAGATAAAAGTTGTTATTATATGAAATATATATTTTTAACTTACAAATTATTTTCGAACATTGATAGAGAAACATATTAAAACATAAAAAGTCATAGTTACGAGTTTTTAGAGCTAAAATAAGTGGGAGCCTCACAACCTTTCCCGCTCCCTTTGAAATTTCAAAGAGGTCTCGATTTTCCCATGATCCTCTTGACCAATTAGAAGGGCAACTTCATTTTTAGCTGTGACGTGAAAAGTACATTCATCCGCTTGCCACCACCTTCTGTATTTTCTCTATGAAGAAACAATAATACCCATCTACAAGCTGACTTTTTACAGGACGAAGAAATGTATGTTACAACGTCATTACAGCACTCCCATGCAGAAATGGAAAAAACTAAAAACAACGGCATGGGTATTTTACACTTTTTTACTCTTAAGAATGCGGTAAAGTAGCTAACTCATTGTCGCCAAGATTGTCAGTTAGGTGGTATTGTTCTTTAGCCTTGGAAATGCATCATCTATCTGAATTACATCGGTATCATCCCTAAAAGCTCCGTTAAACTTTGAAAAATATAGATTAAAATTGTTTGTTTTTGTAAAATAGAGTCAACGAACTATTCGCTTCTCTCTCAAAATTCCATATTCGTTCAGTTGCAAATTCTGCGTCTCTTTTCCCTGCATTGAAATATAGGATCATCAATCAAATTCTGTGGGGCTTGAATATTATTTTTATTCAATCTAAAGATTCAAGGTATATTCTACTGCAGGTATGGACAAAGGGAATTTTAGAAAGTCGTGGAAACGCGTAGATTTGACAGTGTCCAATGGTGCGACTGCAACGCCATATTGATAACTCGTTTACTCTGTCCTGAGAGTGGATCTCGTCGATTATGGGTTGTGTTTTCGTGTTCTTAGTTAAGTTTTTCGTCATTTTGAGTTTTATCAATTTTTTAAATTCATCTGATAGCTTATTGAAGCTACCAGATCTGCCAGAGCCTCATTTTGAACTGCGCGGCAAAGGCAGTATGACTTGTAATATCACTCGATGGCCTATATTCTCAGCCCTGCCACTTCGGCACCCTGTTTGCCCATACCCGTAGAATAGTGTGTCTTGCTAAAGATTTTAACATAATGTCTAGCAGGATGGATACTTTGATTTCTCTTCAAGGAATTTATATTTATAGAAAGATAGGTGAACTTTTTTTCTCTTAACTTTTTCTTCTTTTGTTTGCAGACTCAACAGGATCAGATAACATCCTATCATTTTACTGTCACCATTTATTCCATGAAAAATGTTTGACAGCGTTCAGTGAAATTGAGAAATGCATCATTTGTCACAAATCATCGTCTCACGTTAACGTTTTGTAAATTATCAGAGTTAATTTTTATTTTTGTATCTTGTATCATTGTTACGGTCGTTGTAAATATGTAAATTTTTCCTTTCCACCATTTTTTTTTTTCTAATGGACTGTTGCTCATATAGCTTGTTAATCTATTTTTATACTCTTACAATCCTCTGAATGAAAAATCTATTTGAATCGATTTTGTTCCTTTTTCATTGCTTCTAAATCAAGATGGCCAGAGTTCTTGACCAAGCTTATTCCCTGATTTTCCCATAATTTTCAGAAGCTCATTTCCTGATCAGAAATCGAATTTTCCCACCACTTTGCTGAGATTTTCTTGAGAAAAAACCGTAGGTGCATGAAACTCTCCGGAGTTCCACTTACGAACATAGAGTTTTTTCCATTTTAAAGCCATTTCTTTAACACCTATTCCATTATTTAATTCTTTAATTATTCCTGATATTTACATAGTGAAAGTTCTCTACAATTCTGATGATTTGACGGTTCAAGAGGTGAATAATGATGGATCAAGATGAAAAACAATAATAAAAACAGTAAAAATAACCTTGAGAGATTACTCTTTAAATGCTAGAAGAAGGTAATCCCGGTTTCTGGAAAAGATTCCCCGATGAATCCCCAGTTTTGCTGGTCTATACTGCAAGAGGCAGTTGCAATAATGTAGAGGAACTGGAAAATATTGTCCATTTTGCTCTACGACCAATACGTTTAGGAGATATTTGCACTTTTCCGTTTCAAAAATCGATCCATTTTCATCATGATGAAAAGTGGAACCCAATTAGAATTAATTTGAAGGAAATAATGTAAATTAAATGCATTGTTATAAAATATCACATTGATTTATTGAGCAAGGCAAAATACATAGGAAAAACATTTGACAATAAAACAAGAGCATGACCTTAGTTGTCTAATACTGACCTGCTGAGTATTAGAAGCATTAAAATTTGACAAACAGTGGAACTTGTCCTACTATTATAAGTAAATTAAAATGTTAAAGCATTTTCGGAAAAATATAGAATGCTCACAATTTGGCCATCGACTTAAAGAATTCACTGCATTTGCTCTTGAAAAAATTAAATGCACAAATAAGTCTGGAAAACATCTTGTCTTGCTTAATAAGCTCAGTCTTTAAAGATTAAAAACCGGATTATGAATATAAAAATAGTAAAGAGTACATTACAAAAAGGAAAGAGTAAAAAGGGTAGTTTCATAAACTAAACTGCACTTACGGCTAGTAATTGCAATAGGTACTATGTACACAGTTTGGATTGGACTTGTACAAAAATTGTGTTTATTTAGAGGTCAACTGAGAAAATTCTATAATAAAAATCAATCCTTGGTAAAACATGATAAACCTGCACTTGGACTTCACTGATAATCATGGTCATTTTCAATTTATAACTTTTGTAAAATGAAATAAAGAATGACCTCTAGCAATATGTTTTTTCAGAGGATTCAAAAATAAATGAAGCAGAAATATGAATAAAGCCTTATCTGGCAGCTTGATGAACTAATTAAAGACAAAATTTGACTTTCAATCTCTTATGCAATACTGTTTTCGACGCATTGAGTATTTAATCAGCACATCCTTCGCTTCAACAAGTTCAGAGAGGAAATTAATATTTCACGTATTTCAGTAGATATGGGATTTCAAAATAATGACACAGAAAAAATACAAATTGATAAAAGAATAACAAAAAGCTGATATTACATGGTTATTAAAAACAAAAGTAAGTAAATTTTAAAAATAATGAATGGCTGTGTTAAGAGCAACAAAAGGGCAAGAGCACAGGCTGCTTATCATATTTTTTCTGACACCTGCACGAAGCTCACTCTGCAAATTAACAATAAATTATTTTTCTCTAACTAAATACCAGCAACCTCTCCTTTTCAGGGTGTCTACAGATTTTAGGGAACAAATTTCAGGACTTTTTCAGAACTTTTTCAGGATCCTCGGAGTATTTTTGCCAAGTCAGGGTCTACACTACTGCTAATTTTAATGGGAATCGAGTCCACCTTTATGAAAATTTCTGATGACTAAAGGAATCCATGATATGTATGTATAATCGGGGACATTTTTTCTACGTGACAACTGCACTTTGACTCATTTGGTAATCCGGTGGAAATATTTCCCCCTAATAGTACACTTGAGTTAGTTTTCATTTTCCCAAAATTTTAGCAGATATCTGAGATTTTTCGGCTAATGTAGTCAAGAACAGCAGTTTTTTTTTTTTTTAATTTACCCTAATTTTTTGTAAATAAGTAAATATTTTAGCCTGGAATAAAGCTGCAGGTCGCCTTGAGATCGGAATAAAAATGACCTAAATACCACTGATGACATGAGAGAGAATTATTATAATCTATTACAAAGGGTTCCTAAGAAATGGCGAATTGCATAATACTCATGTTTTCGGTTTTGAATGATTCAATAATCCTCAATTAAGTATTTCGGTAAGTATTCTTGTATTAAAGCTAAAATTCAAGATTTAGGGAAACAAGACTTACAAAAGAAATTTTTGATGCAAAAAACAAAATGAAAATGCACCTATCGTGCCAGTTTTAAAAATTCGTAATCCTCAAATTTTGTAGCATGAATTCAGGCTTTGTTACAAGAAAATTGAAAATTAAAGACTTACTTTAAAATCTGTGCTAAAAGGCAGAAGAGGAAAAATTAAGTTAAACCTAAAAGTTGATATTAAGTGCCATGAACACTTCAGTAGTGCATATGCTGTCTGCTATATCTAGCAGAAACAACCACGCTATCGTGTTGTTTGTTTTGCTGCAGTTTTTAAAGATAAAAATGTTAATAACTTAAGATCAACTTTTTGGCACTTAGCACGGGTTTTAAAATGAGTCATCAATTGTTGAGATTTTTCTCGGAGAAAACTGTTATCTTTGGTATTTGGGAGCTTTACTTTACAGCAACACCTGTCAAAAACACCTTTCTTGGAGGTGTTACTTTTCACTTTGATCAATTGGAACTAGTCAACTTTTAAAAATATAAAACCAAGATTAAAAAATGGTTGTGAATGTTGTGACGGCTCGAGGAGCTGGAGAGAAAGATAAAAAATTGCAATCGGCTAAGGTTGCCGTACGTTGAAAACTTGAAAGTAAAACACAATATTTACACAGGAAACGATCACCTATTTATCGTGTGCAAACTTAACGCGTTCTAAATCGAGAATGGAAATGTGTGAGGAATTTGGGTGAGCTCCTGGAGCTCCTTGGAAAACTCTAAGCCTGAGGAGCTTGAAGAGGATCCAAATTGAATAAAAGTTTCATATCGTCTAAGGTAAGTTTAGCAGCATTGATTTTCTTGGCTCCGGTTAGAACTTGATCTGCGACGTTTAGTTTAGTTTGCTGAATTTTCTCGATGGCTTCTTCGATTGTATCTGATACTACGAATCTGCACAAGAAAAAAAAAGAAATACATTAATAACAACTTTTGCAAAGAAAAGAAGTAAAAAGGAAAGAGAACCTTCTGTAATTTGACTATACGGAGCTAGCAACTACTAACAGAGTTTTTAGATTGCCATGCCCTTACACTATATTTTTAAAACATTGTTACTCCAGCTTGATCTTACAAGTGAAAACATATGCTGTGCCAAGACATTTGTAGGGCATTCCTCTACAGGGTGGTACTGAAGTCTTAAATTTTCAGTTTTTTCTGCACATAGATAAATTTCTCCGTAGTCTGTTACAACTGCATTTTAGACTTATTACGGACGAAAGAAAATATAAACTGTCTGCAGGAAAAGTGACTGTAATGTCATTTGTTAGTTTACAGAAACTACACAAATTGAGGTATAGATACCAGGAGTTACTTAGAGAAGTTTTCTCCAAATCTTTTGAGACATAAGGTATTTTTGAATTTTTAGTAAGTAGTTGCTCCAGAAAACATGATTCAAAATTTTGTTCTGCTATACTCAGAGGAACCACTCGTGATTAAGTACCCATACTTTCTAACTGTGTGATTTGGGTTTGATGCAAGGTATTGGCTGTACTGGTTCTTTCAATTCAAGGAGATGCGTCCAATGGTATCAGTTAATCTTTGGTCTCCTGCGGACTGCGGAATAGGTGGTGAATCATGGACAAAGTATCCGCTACTTCTACTATGATTAAAAAGTAGGGTACACAGTCATGATTGGGTTAAATCTAATTACACCATTTATAACAAACAGAAGATTTTACTTAAGACTAGATGAAAAGTCATCATTTTGTCCCTCGATGAGAGTTTACTTTATCCTTAATGGGTCAGTTGCACTGGTCACAGAAAGTTGTGTTTTGGTGCTTTATTCTTGCAGATCAACTAAAAATAATAAGATCCGTCCAAACAGCAACTTTCTACAATGAATATTAACCCAGATATCGCGCCTTGAAAAACTCGATACATGAGGTCATCCTCTGTGGTAGTACATACCATGTTATGCACTACCACAGTGGATGACGTCAAAAACCTGACTTTCCAAAGGACGATATCTCGGTTAATATTCAATGTAGAAAGTTGCTGTTTGGGTGGATCTACTTATTTTTATCTAATCTACAAGAATCACGCATCAAAACTCGATTCTGGAACCAGTGCAACTAGCCTATTCTTTCAGGAAAATAAAAACAATTTTGCTGTATCAACTGAAGCCATGAACGATCTTAGGACTAAAGTAGTGCTTACAGGAATTAGATTAATAAATATTGAGTTACCAGCCTTTTCTCAACCTAAAAATAATGATATATCTCAAGGAAGAAACCTTCCACTTAGAAATGGAACATTGACTAAAAAAAGGGGGGAAAAAGGTATTGAAAACAATTGGAAAATAATAAAAAATTGAGGCAGCGGAAACACACCTGTAGACAAACACATCTTTTTTTTGGCCGACTCGATATATTCTATCACACGCTTGATTTTCGAGCTGAGGATTCCAATGAATATCGATCAACATCAATCGGTTTCCTCCGACTAGATTTAAACCACAACCACCAGCAGTTAGGGATAGTAGAAGAATCTGCAAAAAATTGTAAAAAAAAATTTAATGATATCAATTCTATGACAAAGGCTTGAGGTTAGAAGTTACTGATGCAAACAAAGATGCGATTTGTACTGGTGACTATTTCTGAAGTGTTAAAAGTTTTATGCCAATTGAACATTTATTAGGAAAAGGTGCAAAGTCGGATTTTCATCAAAATTGAATTGTTGATGGAAAAGTAATCCTTGATTGCCTTCTAAGTGATTTTGATTGTCTCCTGAATAGTTTTGTTTTTCAGAGTTGCAACCTTTTCGAAAAAAACGCTTCCATTGTTTTATGCAATTCAGTTTATTCGTGTCACAACTAAATTTTCAATTTGCATAATTTTTATAGCAGTTACAGAATTCTTGAGCACTTTAACTGACAAGTTGACCAAAACTTGTCAACTGTCTTTTTGGATGTTTGTTCAAAAATTCCACAAGGAAGTCATTTAAACCCTCATCCTTCAATCCTTAAGGGTTGAGGCGGTGGAATACAGAAGTAGCGGTGTCCATCTAGTGTAAAAAAGCTAGAAGAGGTCTGTATTACTTCCTCCTTAAGTGCGATGTGAAATAAATTTTTGGAAAGGGGGAACAGGAAAAATTATTATGTAAATATGAATTCCTTTAAATTTTATGTTGTTTGAAAAAGTTTGAAAAATAGCGGATTAAAATTTTAAGATTGAATCACACTGGAATACGGCCTCAAGGTTGGCGTATTTCTTGGTTTTTCTGTCTCAAAAAGTGATCACAACGAAAATATTGCTGAGGGGTCTACCCTGGTTGTATTAATTTCCTTCCTGTCTTTTATGTAAAAATGTACACAGTGAAGTGATCTGTCGTGAAAGAGCGTAATGATTTGGCTACTGCTTTTCATTTTATATTGGTTTGGACTTTCTCGAAAAGTGTTTTTAAGAGGAAAAATTATCGCAGAGGAGGAGGAGGATTGATTAAATTGCAGGTCAAAAGTCAAATTTTAAGCGCTGATGCATTGATTTTTAAGTTTAATTGAACCAGAAATCTTCAACTGAGCACCTTCATTCCTCTGAAAGGATTTCTGAGTTGCAATGAAATTGCATAAAAATGAGAAGCGAGCCACTTTGATTCATTTTAAACTATTCATTTTTTTTACTCATGAAAGGCAATATGCAATGTTGAATGACAAAATACGTACCCTAGGCCCACGATCTGGAGTGTTGAATTTCTCAATAATTGGCCCTCGGTCTGGGATGGCAATCTCTCCAGTTAACACACCGTAGCGGATGCCCTTTTTCCTCAGAACTTCTCCTAAAATTGCTAAGTACCCTGCCCACTGAGAGACGATGACCACTTTATCTTCCGTTGGTAAAATTTCTTCGTCTAGAATTTCTATGACTTTCCTAATCTGAGAGGACAATAAAAGCTAACATTACTGGACAATGGATGAAAAAGGAAAAGATAAGACAGAAATCACAGTATGAAAAATTGAACCTAAGCATTCCCGATAGAGACCTGGAAATACAGGGTGTGCAAAAAGGAGCCTCTCCTTTCTTCCTCTGATAACATGCTATCTCTTGTTATATAAATGTGTATTGGTGCATATCACGACCCAGTGCTTCATTCTACGAAAAATGCACCAGAGATTCTTGTTCCTGGGGATTGAAGGTTGATAAAAATTCAATGAAGACCGTCCTTTAAGTATGACCTTTCGTTTAGCTCTTTGGACAGAAAAATAAGATCCCCTAGAAAAATGATTTGGACACCCTCTTCAGGTAGTATGAGAAGGGTTTTTAAAAATCAAATGCCTAGTTTTTAACTTGCTTACTCAGTAAGTCGAACAATTTTGTAGCTATCCCCAGATATTCTGCAGTGCTGTTGTGAATATATATAAAATTTTGCAGCGCGCAACATGTTAATGGTTGCACTTAGTAGATTGTAACTTGGAGAACATTCCTCTATCAATGTAAGCTTCTTTTTGCCATACGTCAAATTTTGGCACGAAAGCAGTTTTTTCCCCCGAAACTTTAAAGTAGCTTGCATTGATTAAAAGAGATCCTCCAAAAATGCAACATTTTAATAACAAGAACTGAAAAATTAGCGGGGGGATTCTTGAACACTCAATAGGTTACCACTGAGGAGATTGTTCAGTCTTTCAGTCTTCCAGTTATAAATGAGGCCTCTTCCATTTTCAATTGCAGATTTAAAAAAAGGGTTCTAATGAGACTCTAGAACTGATCCTTAAATTACTCGCGGTAAGTTACGATATTACAAAGGAAAGATTCCTGATACATTAAATGAATAGGGAACTTTTGCAGTAAATTACTTTTGAGCTAATTCTGTCTCTGCTGAAAAGTGGATGATCGCTGGTCAAATATTTCGAAGAAGCTTCCGTATCATCATCCGATTGGTCAGCAGCATTTGGTTTCAAAGACATCCTTTTGAACTGATCCATGAAATCAATATCCAGACCTCCTTCTTCTATCCCATCTGCAGAGATGGCTTCCTTATCGATCATCTGCAACATAAATAAATGATGTTTGGACAAGATCTCTTTGAAGCCATTTAAATTTCCTAATATTATAATTAGTTTTTATACTCTGAGTTGCCTCAGAATTTAGAAAATTTCCTGACACACTTTGGTAAAATTTCCTGATATTTGACGATATATAATAATTCAAACAAAAATAATTCGAACAAAAACAGAATGCAAGAAAATAAATTTTTTGGTCCTAAACATGCATTAAAAATTATGTTTGAAAAAAGAAAGAAAGTAAAAAAATGACAAACTCCAAAACATGTTGATAAGCACTAAAATGAAGAAGCTAAAATTATTTTTACCTCACTTATCAAAGACGGGTGACAGCAAAGCTGGCGTAGACGTAAAATGAAAACCAGGATCTGATGTGCTTTAACATCTTGTGATCCTGTAAATTTCTGGTATAAATTTGCCAATTCTGGGTGCTTGTTCAAAAGTTCTTCATTTTCTGATGAAAAAGACGAAAAACACGTTTAGACAGAGAAAAAATCTTTCAAATCAAATCCAAAGAATTGAATAGATGTTTGCTAAATAATCTGATGAATTCAGTAAGAGTCTTCGATAATTTTACTGGATTTGGGTCTAAAATTGGAAAGGATGATTTTTTTAATGACTATGAAGTATATGCAAAGCTTCACGTTTACTTTGCAAAGCAACAAGTTTCTACTTTGTTTTTTGCAACGACGTTCTGCACTTAATACTACGCTTTACAATCTAAACCTTGACTTTGCTATTTAAATTCCTGGCTTCACACACTCCTAACAATTATTAATGTAATTAATTATTAAATTATGAATGTGAATAGCGACCTTCAGCTTGATCAAATAGATAAAACAAGTGCTCTCGGGGGTTCCCGCACTTAAATTTTTCACTTATGTCAAACAAAAATGCAAATTGGTACGGTGTATTTTAACCAAAAAAGTAAAAAATACCGGGCTACGAGCCAGTGAAATTAAATGTCTATCAATACAACTGACTGACTTACTTTCTAGATCAACATGTTTCTTTTTGCTCATGACAATTCCGTAAGTCTGCAAGTCTGCTTTTTCAGCTCGCTGGGCTAGATATTTATGGAATAGAGAGCTGGAAAGAATAGAAAATTAATTACAAAATGGAATCATAAATCAATTATAATTCATAACTAGGGCTGCGCAAATTACTGACCCAAAAAATGAAACAACAAATTAGACTACAGCCATTAATGTTGAGGTGTCAAGTAAATCTAGAAAAAAAAAAAAAGAAGAAAAAAAAATTTGAAAGATTTTGTGATTTCAATGAGCATTATTCAATAAATTCCCTGATTATGAACAATTTTCAGAAAAAATACCATGAAATATCTCTAATTTTCGGAATAAAAGAAGTGAAAAATTTGAAACACGAGAGTGAAGACGTTTTACAAAAAATTTAATGATCAACAAATTTTTGGGGGAATCCAGTGGCGTTTTTGCAAGTTTTTTCTAATGCCGAAAAAATTCTTTGATGATGTCGGGATATTCGAGGATATTGGCACCATTTTAAAAATATTCACACTTGGGTTAAGATTCCAGTTTTTTCACGCGACTTATATGGAATTGATGTGAGCCATGGATGATTAAATTTAAAAAAAATCATCTAGCTCTGCAAAATAATTCAATAAATAAAACTTTTCGTCCGCCGATAGTGTAGAAATAGCATGTTCAAAAGGAATAGACTTGGTAGAGGCCATGCTCCAACTACAGAATAGATTTACCTTGATAGGAGTAATAATTTGTGGTAGACTTCTTTTTCGTCGTTATCTAATGCCACCTCGATCTTTTTGTAGTTTTTAGGTGGGAGCTTGTTTGCTCCTGATGTGAGTAGCTGCTCTTTTGTCCTTCTAAGTAAGATACTTTTTACGACAGTGTTCAAACGTTTAGTACCAGCGGCATCACGGTTGTCTACCCACCTTTTCCATACCTAAAAAAAACACTTGTTAAAAATATTTACATCTAAAAGTCTTCTGGCAAACTTCACACAGGACAAAAACTGAGAACAAACCTCAGTTTATGAGAATTTTAAAACTGTAACAGATGTGATGCTAAACTGCAGTGCCAAAAGCCTTGAATTTCCTTATTTCAAAATAATTCCATGATTAAACGCACAAAATTTGAATTAAGAACAAGAAACTGGAAGTTTTATTTTCCTATAAGACCCACTGTTGAGGACCAAGTCAAGCAACTATTTTCACAATCAAAATACTTTGACTCGACTTCTGATTTTGGACAGAAGAAAACTTATGACTGGTTAAATTCATAACTACTACCAACTTACTTTTTTTAAAAAAAAAAAAATTTGGACTTGCGACTTGGTACATTTTTGTTAAATTCGGCTCATTTTATAAGAGCTACTTTTTCCTGGAAAGAAGCAAGCATCCTATACTCTGCTAGATTTCTCAGAAAAAGCTGAATTATGGAGGTAAAAAGTTGATTTCTTTACCCAGCTAATTTTTCAGTCCTCAGTCAAATTGAAGAACATAATGTTGTTTCAGTGACACTGAAAAGATTCTCACTTTTGGACCCTAATATCCCTGAAGACTTATGATTTCCAGAGGAATTGTGGTGTTTCAGTTCCTCTTGTTCTGGGTAAAAAGTTTAAATCTGCCAATTTAAAATGAATTAAGATAAATTATTAGATTCTTAATTTTGAGGTATGCGAGGTGGATAAGTTTTAAAAAGGTTTTTGTGTACTTACGGCCAAGTCATCGAAGGGTTTACAACGGAGAAATTTCAGAAGACCGTACATATCGAGCTGCTTGTTGTGAATGGGGGTTCCAGTCAGAGCCCATCGGTTTCTAGCTGTCAGATTACAGACAGCAATGGAGCCAACAGTTTTTGGATTTCGGATTGTGTGTGCCTCATCAATGATGATCCTATCCCAGGCAATTTTGTACATGGCGCTCTAGTTACAAAGAGAAAATTTAGTGATAAGTTATAGATCATAAAATGGGCAAGTTGATATTCTAAATTGAAATCTTGGGCAGAAATTTATTATTACCAAAATTAGTTAAAACACTAAGCAGGTACACTTTATGTGTTGAAATATTTCAGTTTGTATAAGAAAATTAGATAATTGAAAAGAAAACACGATGAAAGACAGCAATTGAGCATAATTTAAACAAAGATAGAGTTATTTAGCGGCGCGTACCTGGCACTAGTTTGCTGAAACTAGTAAATGGGGTAAGATTACAGATTTTTGTACTCTTGATTGCAACCATCGCAAATCAATGCGTCAAAAAATTTCATAACAGGATTATCCATATTATTATACTGGATCATTCCATAACAGGATATTTTTTTTTTATTTAAAAAAAAAAAAAAAAAAAGGTACATAAAAAAGGGAACTTACATCTTCCATTTTCTTGCCTTCCGATGTAACAGTCCCATAAGTTGTTACCACCATATCGTATCTGGCTAACCTGAAAAGAAACAGTTAATGAAATATACACCTTAAATTTCTTCAAATGGCAAATGAACAAATACTTACTCACAAGTGGATCCGGCCACTGTGCCAATTTCATTAGGCATTGAACGGCAAAAGAGGCAAGAACACTGTGAAAGAAATATTTATTGAAAACAAGGGGAAAAAAGAAGGGTGAATTATTTTTGTTTTTTTACCTTCTAGCTTTCTCCTCCCTTTTGGCGCCATGATGAATAAGAACGTTCAAAACATTTGACTTGACTCTTTTCTTGACCTCTCCTTCCCACTGACTTAGGAGTGATGCTGGTGCTATGACCAAAGTGCCACCAGGATATTCTGTACATTCATCAGAGAAAGGAATTGTAAAAAAGGAAGTAAAATTAAGAAAAAAAAGTGCATTACGATCTTGATCCGTCTGTTTGCCAAGGCAATACGGAGTGGGCAGTGAGAGAAAGCGCAAATATTATAATCCATACTTGAGGGCAGCCCCGATTGGATGGTGGTGGTGACGCCACAAATGCAAAAATTGACAAGTCGGAAAATTCGTTTAACTCAGCATTTTACTTAGCAGGGGTTGACTGTAAATCCTGATGGGAATAATACATTAAAATCCAGCTTTTAATTCAACATAAATATACTGTCACTAAACTTATAACTCAGAACCATAATAAACATGGTCACACAAGAGCAAATTTACACTAAAGTTCATAAAAAAATGAGGATCTCAAAATTGGTGAGCAAAATATTTCTATCAATTAAAAAATAATTGCATTTTCAGCATTTTTGACAGTAGCTTTAGAGTTCATTTTGAATGGAAAAGTACAGGAGAAAAATTGCTCATTATTCACTTGGAAATTTTAGAAAATAGGTGTTTTGGACTTGATAAATCAATTCAAACTGTAGAAATGAAAGAAAAGCTCACTTTTAGGTCGAGATCCAGAACTTGCCCAGTCTTCACCATCACTGTCTTCCGTGCTGCTAGATTTTTGTCCATTTTCCTCGGCTTCTTCCTTGATCTCTTGATTTTTCAAAATTAGGGATATCATTGTCAAAGTTTTTCCGAGACCCATATCATCCGCTGAGGAAACCAAAAAAAAAACCAAATTCAATCTCAGCATAAGAACGTACATAAATGGTTTAATTAAAGACCCTGTATTTTCATCAAAAAGCTTTAACTTTTAAATTCTGGTTCATTTTCATCAAATGGAAACTCAAAATTCACTTTTAAAGGATATTCTATATCCTTTCTTTTCAATCCGTGGATAATTCATTTCAAAGACAATGCTTTAGGTTTCCTAGTTAGGTTCAACTCTCAAATTCGGTTGAAAAATCGAAATTTAAGTTTTCTAAGTTTTCCGTCTTTATCTTGCTCAAAAGTTACCAAAACACTATTCATAAAAGTCGAATTTTGAATGTTTCAGCTCTGAGGTGTCTTTCCTACGACTGGCAACAAGTCATAAATTGTTTGAATCGTACTAGATTACAGCAGTGCTGTAAAATATGCCAACCCGCGATGTCACGTCATATTACACAAACATTGATGGGAAAAAAGAAGCGTACAGCTTGTAGGATCTAGCCTTTACAATGCCAATGGCTTCACCCCGTTGTGGTGGCCCGAATACTCTGTAGTACCATGAATTATGGTACCAACCTAAAATTCCACCGTGAGGTTTTTGACTTTCGCGCCAGAGAAGCCATGCAAGAGCGTGTTTCTGGTGGGGCATCAGTTCAACATCACTTTTCAGTGTTTTTGGATCCGACATCAACACTGATTCGTCAGGCATAGTGCTCATACTCTTGTGAATTCTACGGAGGCAGTCCATCGTTAATGATTGCTGAACTCTGTGTGTTTCAAGAGCTGAAAAAAAAGCAAAAAGAGGATTCGAAAAATTCCAAGTTACGAATAAGAGCAAGATGACAAAACGTACTCAGTTCCCTTGAAGGAAAGTTATACAAACAGTGAATGTACATGTTAAAATTCTTTGGAATCTTCAAGTGGGATAGTAATGCTGTTTTTAGCCAAAAATCGAAATGTGTTCTTTGAGCTCCTTGAAAAATAAATCAATTTTTTCCCTAAAAACCCTAGAAGTTGATTTATTTTTTGAGGAACTCCAGAAACACATTTCGATTTATGGCTAGAAACATAATATTTTGACCCTACTCAAAGATTCTAAAAAGTTCAAACATGGACATTCTTCTTTCATAAAACTTTCCTTCAATGAAGTTGTGGCTATATTTTTAAAGTATTCCAAGTTCTAACTTTGAGACACATACTCTTTCCAAAACTTCAATTTTAATTTCAGATTGCACTCTAAAATAGAACGAGCATACAATGTAAGATAAGACAAGAGTAAATTAAGAATAATTTAGATTGATATAAAGGGTCATTAGATTCGTGGGGTAGATTGTTAATTAATTTTTAAAAGTACTGAGTGCATTAAGCTCCCAGTAATTGTTTGTATTTTTCTTTTTTTTCCAAAATGACTAAGAAAATCGATTTTGAAGTTGCCAAAATCTGGACCCATTAGAAATTATATTTTTGGCAGTATGTTATGATGTGGGAACGCGAAGAGTTTGCATTTGCTGATTGGATGAAGACCAGCCAGAGACGTTGTCTAGATTCATCATGACGAATGTCAGCCTATGGTTGGTCATACATCATTTAGCTTTTTCTTCCCTTAAAAGTGATTTTTTAAACGTTTAAACAGATTTTGTAGTGTTCTCATGGAATTTAACTTCCGGATACTCTCCAGAAATATGTATGATGCCACTGACTCATTTGGCAATGACGCACATTTTTCAACAGACGGAGCCTCATGATTTCTAACTTGAAAACGAAAATTCTCATTGCATGAGAATCACTTGTTTGCTGGAAAGTATGAAAATATTCACCTTTTTTCCCCATCTCATTTAAGTTGAAACCAGCAGATGGCATTTTAGCATTCCAGATTGGTATTTCCTTGACTTTACCTTGTTGCTTGATAGAACTGTTAGAGCCTGCAAAAAAAAAGATAGAACATAACTACTCTGACAAACACCAGCTTAGCATTTTAATTGGTGCTGAACTCATCTAAGATGAGAGTCTTAGCGAAAGGAAATTATATTTTTCGCAACTAACTGATCACTCTTGCAGATCAGCAGGGTTTTATTTTTGGACGCCGATCACAGGCACGGTAAAATACCTTACAAGAATTACCTTTCAAATTTGTCTGCTAAGATATTAATCCTATGACTCCTTGAATACAGTGAAAATTAAGGAGCTGTACTTTCAGATGGTTTGACTGCTCATTGTCAGTGGAAAAACTGGAAAGATAAGACTTTCCAACAACATTTTTTTTCTTTTAAATTAAAACCTGCTTACTTGAATTTTGAATTCCGCTAGCACTATACCCTGAGGATACTGATTGGAAGGATGAAGAACCAGAGAGACTGGAGGAAGACTGGGATAGTGTTGACCGTGCTGTTGAACTGTCGGATGGTTTAGAGAGTGACTTCGGTTCTGAAATTTTCAGATTTGCTAAGTTTGGCACAGCAAAAGTTGATGTTGAGTTTCCAGTGCTATTACTGGGTGAAGTTCTTGATGTGAGATGTTTGAAGTTGGAATTGATTGATGATGAAAACTGCGAGCCAATAGTCGGTTTTCGTTCGGAATGTGTTTTTAATATGTTTGGTTTTGTACCAAACGTAGAACTGGGCGTTGATTCTGGCTTCGCATCATTTGCAGTGGGTGATGTTTTAGCAGAGGGGAGTTTTGGAATTCTGTAGTTCGATAGTGGGGAAGGTTTTTTGACGACTTCAGATGGGGAGTTATTGGGTGGGGGCACGCCTGCAACAAAACAAAGAGATTATTTGATAACTGAAGTTAAAAGAGATTCAAAGATTGTAAATTATGGTTTCTTATAAGGCAAGATCAGAAAAAAATAACCTTTTTAATCCTAGACAAGTCGAATCCTTTGCTACTGTGTACATTTTAGAGACCCATCTATTCTGGTGAAATTATGGAGGAGACTATTTAATACATGCTGTCTGTTGGTGAAGCTAAGAATGGAGTACAAAAAAAAGCAGGCAAATGCCGGAAAAAGTTTGAAATGCTTGTTAAATGCCACTCTCTCTCTCTCTCTCTCTGAAACGTGTGAGAATGAGCGGCATTGGAATTGGGCAAATTCCAAAGTGAAAGAGAAAAATTAATATCATGTCTATCTCTCTGGAAAAATTTCTGTTTACTCATTCGGGAATTTTCAAACAAAGAAACGAAGTAAGGCGTAAGTATTGAAAGTTTTAAAAAGGAAAGTTACCAGGGGTTTCATTGAAACTTGACGCAGCACTCGCAAAAGATGATTTCTTGGAAGAGTCATTTTCAGACTTGGCAGGTGATGCTGGAGATTGGAAGGGTGATTTTTCTGATGAATATTTTTTCGAGCTGTTCGGAATTGAGGTTGAAGAAGGGCTGTCATCTGGAAATCATTGAAAATGACATTAGAATAAAATATGTGGCTAAGAATTGCATATTCTGATGCGGTGAAGAGTTGCAGAAACTCTAAATCACCCTAATTTTTTGTTAAAAGGTTTTTAATTTTTATTTTCGATTCTAGCAGGTTAACTACATAACAAAAGGAGGATATGGAAAAAGAGACAACATGGCCAATTAACGACAGAAAAAAAAAGCTTCAAAAAAATAAATACGAACAAGAGTAAATTGCTAAACAAAAACACCGAGTTAACATGGGTAATAAATTACAAATAGTGTGACAGCGCCAGTGCTTGTCAAAGAAATCAAAAAACAAAAACCAAAGGACTAAAAAAAAAACTCTATTTTCGTTGAAAAATGAAATTAAACCAAAAGTTTAACCTAGCACCTCAGTGCACCCAAGCTGAATTGGGTCCCAACAGAAGATTTTAATGGAATTAATTGCATTTTTAAATACCGCATCAGTAAATATGCAATTATGAAATTCCACACGTTAACATCTTGCAACGTCATTAAAAGCAGTTCTTGTTAGGAAACTCCAGTATCAATACAAAAATAATAGTTAACAGCTTGACTCAAAGTTACATAATTCCAGTTCTTGGGAGCAAGAGTCACAACAATCGAGGAAAATAAAGCAAAGAAAGTATCAACTTATAAGGCTACTCATAGATAATAGCTAGAGTTGGGCCGGGTATCCGGCGATTATCCGGATTGCCGGATTATCCGGCCGGATACCGGATATCCGGCTCCGGCCGGATACGATTTTCGCGAGTATCCGGATCCGGCCGGATAATCGCGCTATCCGGTTTTTGGACCCGCCGGATAGTGCTTTTTTGGCCCTGAAAATTTCGATAAATTTTTGGTGATATTCTTTCTTTTTTCTTCCCTATCAATACAATTTTCTGTATTTTTTCCTGAAACTTTTGACTTTTTTTTCTTCTCCTTCAATACAGCTCTGTTTATTTTTTTTTCTTTCAACATGAATTACATGCTGCTAAGTCTTGAACAATTTTAATTATATTCAGTCTGTTTTAACGCACATGTTCTGCTAATTGACGCGATCGCAACGTAAATTCTTTTAGTCCGCGACCCGCGTGTTTCACTTTCATAGATGCAGGTGGACCAACATATGCATAATTCCCCGTTTTTAGTCGGTGCAAAACTCCGCATTCATCGTAGTGTCGCAGCACGCTGTTTGTTTCGGTAATATCGAAACGAAGGCCAATTAAGTTTTTGATCGGTTGAAACATCCATTTCTCTCGTTCATTTAGATTCTCATCAACAGAAATTGACCGAATAATTTTCCGTCAAGACAGGCTTTGATTTGCTGTAACTTTGGATTGGCATGCGGCGGCGGTGCTTTCAAAAGTGTCAGATTGGCAGCGCTGTTTTCCACTTTTGTTTTGTTTACATTTCTGACTTCTGATAACACCCTCCTGCTGAACCAAAGACATAAAGACGGAGCGCTAAAAGCAAAAAATGAAGCTTCTTTTCAATCACCTCTACTAATGGCTGTAGGATTGGCGGCGAAATCGGGACAAGTTTGAAATTCAAATGTAGGGCGGGAACTAAATAAAATTGCGGAAACAAAGTATCTTAGGTTGATTTTTGCCCAAATTCACTTACACACTCATATTTGTATAACTTTAGGTTAGTTTTGGTCCGTCGTCGACCGATTAATTTCATTTGGGAGTAACTGTCATCTACGACTGTAACGGCCTGTTTGAACCGGCAGAACCACCGTGAGCAGAAGAAAAACTAACTTTATCTGATACCGAGCCTACCGAGCCTACCGAGCTCTACTGCCTGTTACCGAGCAAAAGTAGGTGTATTATAATAGGACGCAGTCCCAACTTTCTTAATATATTCGTTTTAGGCATTTAAAATACGTTTCGAAGAAGAAATGTGGAAAAATCAAGAGGACAAGTTCAAATCAAATTTCCGTTTGCCGCCATGGATTCCCGCGCTCATTTACACACTCACACAAGCACCGAGCGCCAAACCAGGCTTCAGTTTTTCCCCGTGCTTTTAGATACGAGCACTCCGTCTTTATGTCTTTGTGCTGAACATATGAGCACAGCTGCGAAAAGCTAGAAACTGCCTTGCTATATTTATGACACATATTATTTGTCAACCATGATTTTTGTACTATTGCAATTGTGACACTAGAAATAAGGAAAGAAATTCAAGGCCCGAATTTTGTTAGCTACGACCGATCGTGAGTCGAGTGAACTTAACCTCAAAAATCGCAACATTTTTCGCGCGAAAAAGCACTATCCGGATCCGGTACTATCCGGATCCGGCCGGATACTTTTTTGAATTATCCGGTATCCGGATCCGGCCAGATACAAAAAACCGATATCCGGATCCGGTTCCGGTTCCGGTGACGCGAAAATTCCATTTCGGCCCAACTCTAATAATAGCTAAGAGAATTTTGCTTTAAAATTAACAACTCTTTCAGACATTTTAATTTTAACAAACTAGGGGGTATTTGATTTATCATGGCTAAAATTAGACGCCTTTAAATTGAAATAGTTCCTGCAAGCTGATTGGAAAAGAGCCACGTAATATCAGCAGAAAAGAACTGAGTGACCATTGGCTGTTCTTAAGACTTTTGAACAGTCTTTAACCCACAGGAAAAGAGCAAATGCACTTTAATTTAAATTAATACTGATTCATGGTCAATTTTGAAGACTAGCTAAGAAGCAAACCCTATGTTTCCCAGAAAAACTCGATTTTTTCTCGCTAAATATAGTCCAACATAAATTTTGCATCAACTGTCGAGGTCCAACAGTAAAAAACCGAGCAATCTTTTTAATTCTATTTTACTATTTATGCAACCATGTATGAAAGCACAGAAGTAGATTCAGCGCAAAAATATTTACTCTTTGCATTGAAATGTTTAAATCATGATGTGTTCAGGAGATATATTTACCTTCGCTGATATTATCTGCGACATCCGGAGCGACAACAGTACTAGACATAAAGCCAGGGGGCATTTTTTTGGAAGCTGGTCCTTTCAACATACTGATTGGGCCGGCAAAAGAACTGTAGTCTAAAGAAAAGGGAACACAGTTAGGACATCAATCTTCAAAAGCTTCAAGAATGATCAAAACAGCAAAAACTTTTGCAAATTCACCGGGAAATCATGAGTGAAGTGATAGTTGCTTCTGAAAGAACATTAAATGCAAAAACTCCGTAGCATGAAGGTTGAGATCCTTCCCATTTTTGCTTCCTCAATCTTAATAAAGACAGAAATTACTTGAAAGAACATTGATACTTTTGGATTGGAATAAATAAATAAGAAATAGGAAAATAAAAATATCCTAAAAAACTGTAAAAGGATTGTGCTACTAGTTACATTATTTTTTTAGAATTATTTAAAATTTTACAAGTCAAGCATGTATTTATAAAGTTTAGCCATTTTGACACAGGAACGGAGGAAATCACTTACCATGTGCCAGCGAGTCTCTCTTCTCTTCATCAGATGAATCACTTATTTTGCAGGGCTGTGTCTCTTTTTTAGATTGAATCTGTGATGGCTCGTCATCAGATGAGTCTATTATTCTATTACGCTGAAGTGTTCTTCCAGGTTTTATCGGTGGGAGGTCATCATCTAAAAAAAGGCAGTGAAAGAAGAATTATAAAGAAAAAATCCTGGAAACCGAGAAGAAATATGATAGGGAACCTACGGGCAGTTCAGTTGCATTCGACTAACTGACCGTGACATAAGTAAAACCTTTGCTTACTTAAAATCCTACAAAATCAATTGTAATATTTTAGTACATGAAATGCGTATTAACATATTCATGTTTACTTGATCCTTTAAGTCCTGTGACCCTTCTAAATCCTTTTGGGAGGAATCCAAATGCATCTTGACACAACAAACGAATTTAAGTATTCTGATACGTTTTGTCTTGAAAATTTTACTTGGGACACAAAACCTGCAATGCAAAACTGCTAAAATTAACCTTTAACCAAGATAATAACGTTTTTATTTACCACCTGTACCTAAAAATTGAAATTTCCCGCTCACAAGAGCAACCAGTGTCTATATACATCAAGTTGCGCACTACAGCAGTTATAGCAGGTTTTTTCATGAGCCAGAAGTTTGATTATATTAATCGAAAAAACGATTATATCTTAGTTAGGAGTTGCTTTAAATAATTTTCATTGGATGAATTATGTTTTACATGAAATTTTTACGCTATTACATAGATCACATTGCTCAAATTTGCACCTTGTATAGTGGTCTATTCTGCCGGATGACAGGGTTATGATGAAATTGTGACGGCATTTCTGATGTAAGGAATTGAGTAAAGAAATGACATGTGTCATAAGTATAAAAATTCGAAATGACATTGATGCTGGACGTATCGGAGGATTCTAATTTGTCGACTACAGTGAAGATGGAAAAAAAATTATACAATATCTTAAAAACCTGCTTCGAAGTTTGATTTCCTAACTTCTCTTTGCATCTCAAAAGGGATGAAGAGAGAAAAGTGACAGAGTTGCAATAAAGAGGAGCAATACATTGAACAGGGAGAAACAGCCATCTGTGTCGAACAATTTGCAAAAAACTATCATTTATCACAAAATTAAAGGAAAAAATGGAAGTGGCCTGGAACTATTTATACTGGTGCCTCCTGGACCCTGTGATGTTGATTTTGAAATACTCTGGCACTATTAGAATATGAAAACTGCTAGATGCTTGCATTGGGTTTTTCCTACTTTGACAAAAATTCACACCAAAGAATGACATCGACCTCTTACCGTCATCATCAGAAATTAGGTTGACGTTACCAATGTTGCGTGGAGCTGGGAACGAAGAAGAATCATCATCTGTAAAAAAAACCAAAAGTTCAGAATCCGGAAATATTTTAGCGATATGATATCTTGGTTCAAAATTTAATGGAACACTTGCTTCAATAAAGATTAGTTTTTTCTAATCAAATCTTTTGTGAACTTTCCGAGCTTTTAGTATTGGATTAATCTTATTGGGCATGAGCTCTTCAAAATACATCATTGCTGCAGCAGGGTGTCTACTGAGGTCCACAAAAATAAAATAAGTACTTTTTCAGTACTTTTTAGGTACTTAAGGAAAAATTTAAGTACCTCACCTTGGGGAAAAATTAAGTACTTTTTAAGTACCTTTTCAATATGTATCGCAATTCTTCGATTTTGGCACTGCTGCGCGCTTTACTTTGGCTATTCCCATGGCCTTTTCGGCTGTTTCTGTCAAAACTAGGGAAATGCCTTATTCCGCTCTTCTACAACAACTGCGCTCATACGGGCTGACATTGCACTAATACGCCTGACGGACAACGCACAGAGGTTTGCATAACTATCAGGCAATCGAACTGAACGCGCAGCACAAAATGCGAAAAATTACGGACCTTCCGCGAGACTTACATACTTTTAAGGTATTAACGGACCGACCTTAAAAAATGGACTGGTGACACCTTGCTGCAGGTTAATTAAGGTGTAGATAAGATTCATATCAACAATAAAATTCCCAAAGCATGTATCTCCGTTAGTGACATCGCAAACTTCCTGACATACTTTACTTTATACAAGGAGAGCTACTCAGCAACGCTAATTCTCAAAAACTTTTGTGATTTTAATTCTTTTGGAGGGGATAATTTTAATTACTTTTCCTTCAAAAAAGTAAAATAGGAGCAGAGATTTTTAAACACCGCAAATAAGATTCATGGTTCAGGAGTTTCGCCATCAATATGATTCAGGTATTGTCCAAATGAGGGAATTGCTATAAAAAAATTAAACATGGCTCATGCAGCCTCAAGGATTAAAAATCAAGCACTTCACATGTACTTTTTAAGGAAAATTTCACACACAAATAAGACCTTGGACATAATTCTCTCCTGATTCTTCCCGCATCAAGATTTTCAATGATCAGAATTTTGTCTATTTTTTTTCTTCTGCTTCCTTTTCATAATTCTCATCTGGACACATGATTAATAGTATCTATCTAAGTGTTCAGCAAATCGTAGTATATGGGCAAGGGAGATTCTTTGACTTTCCAAAGAATGATGGAATTTTCAAGGTGGAAGGGAGCAGTAAAGGATTGTTGGTATTTGGGCAATTTAATATTTGTTTATCTCCCTAAATTTTTCTCAAATTCAAATTTTTTCGAAAAAATTTGAATGGTAGCATTGAACCAAACATGTTTGACCCGATAAAAATTTTCTGCTAACAATTAATAAAAAGTCAAATTCGATCATTTTTAAGGCCTTGAAAAAAAATTGGAAATCGAGAACTTTTTAAGGCTGCTTGAACCACAGAAAAGCCAAAAAAAAAAAACACCCCGTGTCTTTGCTCACCATCATCCTCAGATATGTAATGAGACTCGGGCGCTCTGTAGGATTCAGCCAATTTGCGCTGAGCTGTCTGTGAAGGAATCTCATCATCTGGAAAAGAAGAGGTAAATTTCGGAATAAAGACAACAACACAGAAATATCTTGACATGTGCTCACAGAGACTAAGAACTAATATATTACATCAAAAGCGTACATAGAATTTTGAGCCTCATATGTCTTTTTAACATTAATCCGTTCATTAAATGAGTTCGTGTGAATAAATTACTGTAAGAGGGGATAATTCCAGTTAATGGATAACTCTTCTCAGGCCATGATGCTTTAAAAACGCCGTATCATGGGTAACTCAAGTTTAGTCTAAGTTGATATGCTGTTGAAACATTAATTACTCATGAAGCACATGAAAAAAGGTAGCTTCAGTTTTCACAAAATTAAGTTTGTGGTGTTCAAAAAAGAGAGATGGGGCGCCACTTGCTAAAGCAAGAGTTCCCACAATTTTTCCATTTTTCAATTCCCTGACTTTTTTTGCTTTTCTTTGAATCAAAATGCCCTGACTTGCCCTGACTTTTAATCAAAACCTCCACTCAATTTTTTTAAAGTTTCATTATGATAACTTTTGCTCAAGTATGGATAAAATGTTAATAATATGAATAAAATGATAAATGATAAAATAAATAATAATAATAGTGATAATGATAAAATAATAAAATGATAATATGTTAAAAGCATCGTGCTCCATGGCAGTGAAGTGTGGCCTTTGACGAAAAGAACGCAAAAAATGTTGAGGGCAACTGAAATGGATTTTTGGTGGCGACCTGCCGGCATTTCGAGACCGGACCGTGTCCGTAATGAGAGAATTCGCCAGGTGATGGTTGAAAAAGATATCGTGCACAACGTCATGTCCAGGCAGTTATGCTGGTATGGACAAGTGCAAAGAATGTCAGAGGAGACGTTGCCCAGACAAGTTTAGGATTGGGTACCACCTGGGAAGAGGCGACAGGGACGTCCCGTAAAGGGTTGGCGGCAGGGTGTTGACGAAGAGATGTTGCGGTGTCAGTTGCCTGATGATCTCTGGGAGGACAGGAATATGTGGCGTTCGGGTGTAGCAGAACGCCAGAGTGCGTTGTAGGAGCAACTTCATATATATATATATGGATAAAATCTCCACTATCTCATGATTTGAATTAAGGAAAAAGGCATTTAGAAGTTGCTTGCGCTCAAGAAGTTGCTTCATTGTTGCTCTCTCAAATGGCACCAGGGAAAGTTGAGCCGACGCCCTACTAGCAAAATTTTCTGACTTTCCAGGTTTTTCAGATTGCCAAAACCCTTGCTCTACCTTCATCAACCCAAAGAAACTGATGAAAATATCTTTGGACATCTACTTTAAAGGTGACTTTCCGCCTCCAAAAGTGTGGAAATAACTATTTAAAAGTTACTTTTTCACCTTGCATGGGCCTCTAAATGTCCTTTATCCTAGGGTCAGCATGGATTTTTCTCTTTTTTTTTTAATATAGTAAGAAAAAAAATGACTTCATCCACTAAAATTCTGGAATCTAGAAAGAATGTCACCTTCAACTTCTTCAATGGTGCTTCCATCCTCATCTGCAGTGCTTTCGTCCTCAGTTCCATCATCTTCGACTTCCTCGACATCATTTCCATCTTCCTCAGGATCTATTTCATCCTCATCAGCATCACTTTCATCGTCTGAAAAAAGATCCGGTACTTTTCGATCTCCTTCTGATCTGCGCTGAGCTGTTTTGGGGGATTCATCAGCTGTGAAAAAATGAAGAATGTTAGTGCTAAAATAATTGAGAATTCGTGCGGAGGAGGATGCGGTTCATTGAAGAAACCGAGAATATTCTTGTCCTCAGTTTGCATAGTAGTTTCCTCTGAAACATGAAATTTCAGACATCTGCAAATTCTCCATTGGAATAATATAATCCAGTGTTTCATGTAGAGACAATGAATAATTGTTCAATTTCTTGACAGTATTCTCTTATGCATATTTGACAAATTGCAAAAGCAGTTTTGCATTGTAAATATTTCAAAGTAGGGAGAGAAAAACTGACAAATTCTGGTATTCTACTTACATTGTCGTATTCATTGAGGTATAGTTTCCCTTTATTGCTAGTCTCCCTTTCAACAGTGTAGTCAAGGGAGGGCATGGAAACTACGACAAGAAATTTTAGGGCCTTCACGAAATATTCCTGACCGCTCTAATGTACTGTGGAAAAACGCCGTACAAATATTGGAGAGCTGCCAAGTTTCCTCCAATAAAATGTTTATTATTTAGGAGATTTATACATTTTTTCTCCTGTAATTTTTAGATGATTTAGATTTTTCTGTGGATGAAATTCTGATTCTCTGAGAAATTGGAGGAAATATATTTGCAGATTCCCCTTACAATTCTTAATTTATTGAAGAAAATTTAAAAACGCTTGAAGGCTCATAGTGGCGTTTTTCCTTGGTACAGCAGCACTGCTCTGTTTCTTTTCTTTTAAATTGAGTTTTACCGGCTCAACGTTAACACACACTGATTTAAAAAGAGCTACAAGCAACAAGGTTACCGTCTGGTAACTCCTGCGACTCATAACTCCTTACACTGTATCAGCGGTTTAACTGTAGAAATATGTATCTCAGTTCCCAGCAATGCAGAGATCCTGCCATACTTTATTTTCTAAAAGGAGAACCAATAAACATCACTTCTTGAAAACTTCACTAATTTTTTTCTTCTATGTGAAGAATATTCTGTGAAAATTTAAAGCCCTGGTATTGGTACAGTCTCCTTCTAAAAGTAAGATAGAAGCAGAGATCTTCCAATCATTCATTAAGATATGCATGCATACTTGTTGTTACACCATATATAAATTTATTCCTGAATGTTAAAAGTATGAAGTTTTTACATTTTCATGGATCATTTTTATAAAATTTGTTTCAGACTTAATTCCAGTGAGCAGTTTTTCACAGAAAACCTGCAAAAAACATTCACATTTAAAAATTTAAACAGCTCTGTTTCCCCAAAATCTGGAATAAAATGAGCTTTGAGACAGTTAAAAAAATCCAGTTTCTGACGCTTACCATCATCTTCAGAGATAAGGTCACTTTCATCAGACGAAATATGTGCTACCTTCGATTTGCTACGTACTATCAACAGAGAGGAATCATCATCTGTGAGAGATCAAAGGGGATAAAAGTAAATTAAAAACAGTAAATTGAAAATATCAGAGGAAAATTACCCAATAACTGGACAACTTTTACTAGTATCTATTCTAACAGTCAACCTGGTTTTGCTTTGGGGGATTTGGATCACTAAAACTCATTGTTGAGCTCAACATGAGTTTCTGAGAAGAAGGACTAAAGGATTTTCTTTTTTTATCCATGGAACAAATGGAATGCAAGTGAATGCAATGCTGGGTTATCTGCAGTCCCACTTGAGGTTGGGATTGCACTTATCCGCTCAACGACGAATCGATATTTTACTGGAATGCAAGGATCGCTTTAGACAGTGGCAGTGGACCAGGATAGATAGTAACGCACTTCATCATGATTTTCTGCGGCTCTCAGATGAAAAAAAAGGGCCTTAAGAGGACCCAGCCACAGAAGAAGAGGCTGAGAGCAATTCACCCCCTCCTTCTCCCTAAAACGAGCACTTCCAGGCAATCTTGACTTGCTGCATTTGTACCCAAAATAGGAGGTGGATTAATTTTAGCTGGCCGGCTCCACACTCAAGCTCTTTTCTTAATCTTTGTTTAGCAAGAGTACAACCAGCACTGCCTATTAATTTTGCAGCAGACATAAGAGATCGAACAGGTGTGTCATTTAAGGGTGCTGAAAATTTTAGACCAAGCGACCGGCCCAGTTGCATGAATAGCATCATGAAAATATAAATACCGATCAGTGGCGTGGCGTGCTTTGCGATATATCGATTGCTATGCCATTTGAACATATGGAAAAAGATCGATAAACAGGGTGTTCGCAGCGAACACCTTAATAATCGATTCTTTACCATAGGTTTAGATGGCATAACAATCGATACATCGCAATTCACGCCACGCCACTGATACCGATGTGGCTCAATTATTTTCTTTTTTGCTCAACTTTACTTTTAAGAATAACTCAACCATTTTTTTAATTTATTTTTTTCTTAATTATATGCAACAGACTTTGTAAGCAGTCTTTGTCTCACAAATTCTTTCAATTCCTCATTCAAAAATTCTGCTTAGAGATAGGGGCCCTTTTGGGGAGCAGAAACCCTGAGCCGGACACTGACATACTCCAGGAAATGATACCTCTGACTTACCATGACAGTTCTATGGTTTTTCATGAGTTTCTGCACTTAAACAAAATGAACGCAACAAAATAATTAACAAAGAGATGAGATGCCTCTATGGGAGACTTACTATGAGTTTTTTGAGGGTCGGATTTGTTTTTAGAAGTTGAGCGTCCATTTTTGTTTTCTTTGTCGGACTCAACACTCGATGCACTGGAATCTGAAGTTTCTTCTACTACTGCAGGAGATTTTTTTTTTCTTGGCTGCTCTTGTTCTGAAAAAAAAAATTTAAAAAAAATAATAATAATGATAATAACATGGTAATCGCGATAACTAGGGTTTTAGAAATTCCACTTTTCACTTTTCTAAACCAACGATTTTTGACGATAAACATTTTAAATTTTAACCTTTACATACTACTATTGTTGAGATTTTTAACTTTTCAAAATATTCTACTTTTTAAATTTTTTGCTGTAAATTTCTACTTTTTAAAGTTGTGCAATTTTTAAATTTTAGCACTCTACCTCTTCCAAGAAGTTAAATTCTTAAGAATATTAGTGTTACATTTGAAAGTTGTGAAGTGCTTGTAGAAAGACTCGAGTTGGACTCTCCTTAGCGTTGAAGCACTGGGAGAAGTCTGGAGAACCAATTTCTGGCTGTGGACAGTAACAACTTAAAAATAATGATAAAAATAAATGAAAAATAGATTCATTTCCATGAATAATAGTCCCACTCTGGACTGGCCAATAGGTTTACAAATTAATTCGCCTTGGCATTAAAAGAATACGTAAATAAAGCAATACATTTGAGCCCATTTCAGGAGCTAGTTTCTTGCAGTGCTTAATTTCATGATGCAAATTGTGTTGTACATGAAATTTTGAAGAGGAAACATACTTCTGAATGCTAAAATTCATAATTTATTTGAAAGATTCAGAAAGATGCGAATTAGAGATTTTTTCCCTGTGCAACAAGCCCAAGAACAGGAGAATCATAAATATGTTAAGAGTCCTAGCCAAAGACATTGAATCACGTAGACCGTGCATCCTGTGTTACGGAAGGCGAGGCAACTTTTAAAAATTCGCATGTGATGAGTGATGGCACCAACCCACATCGATGAGTTCGTGTGTCCCAGTTGCACACATCTGCGCATGCGCAGTAACGGCTCCAGTGAATTTTTTTCGGATTGTGAGGCTTTTTTCCCCGGTTAATAATTAGTTCGGAAAAATGAAACAATGCTAATTGGGTGTAAAATTATGTGTTTTATAACTTTTCTTCTTAGGAATGTTGTTTGAAAATGGACTCTAAACGAGATATTCGTGAAAAACTGAGCGCGGGCATGAATTCTCCATGGCCTCTTCGAGTACTTGGGACACACGCTCTCTCCCCTTCCTCGCCCGCCCATCATAGGGCTCCGAGAGACTTCCCTTACTCCGCCAGTACTAAACCGAGCCGAACGCACGATCCACGTGATTCAATGTCTTTGGTCCTAGCCAAATAAGTTTGCGAACTTTTAGACTTCTACAAAGGCTCCGCCATCTTGATCTTTACTTGACATGTAAAAATGACGATTTTTTGTTGCAGTCTAGAAGTGCGTAAACTTATTTAGCGTAGACTCTAGCAGAAAACAAATCAAATTACTCACTTGCTTCAAATTCCTTAATTTGAAGACTAATTTTATTCAAGCGACTGGTTGCAATTGCAATTTCTTTCTTCTGGTCAGCATAGCGAACCTTTAACTTTGCGCCTCCATCTGCCAAAGACTCCAAATTAATTGTTTTCAAAGTTTGCTGAAAAGAGAAAGGCACATTGAGGAATATTAGAGAGAGAAAATAACTGACAATTGGATGGCATTCAGCGAAAGAAAACCAGTGTAATCGCAGTGTTTTCAAAATTGCGCAACTTCTTCAACTTATCTTTGAAAAATACTCAGTAAATGTACAGCATTCAAATTTACACAATTATTCTTCTGTAAAATTGACAATTTTTTAGCAGGAAGAAAAACCTATCTACTGTTCTGGGAGGTTTTTTAGATAATTGTGAAGAAGCAACATTTTTACAACACTGTAATCAAGCTGGTTCCTGTTGGCTGAAAATTGCAATCTAATTGTAAAATGGGAACTTTCGTAAAAGTAGAGAGCCCAAGAAAAATTGCCATTTCATCATTTTAAGAATTTCTTTATTTCAATGGCAAGCTTAAGGAGAAAATAAGAATCTGCATTGAATGGGGAAAGTGCGTGACCGCCTCATTTTCCCACGCCTCCTGTTCAGCCAATCAGACATCCAACAACCACTTTTGAATTCCTTATGAAAAATAACACAGGAAATCAAAACCATATATTTTTTTGGAGATCAGTTGATTTTGAGGGAAAAAGATACCTATGACTGACTTCTCGAGGATTTGGCGTGTCTACTCATTACAATACATTCCACTTTCTCCAAGAAACACCACAGATCTTGATTTTTGAAATTTCAGCTTTCCTCTACTTGGGTTGATGTTTTAGACTGTCCCACTGACTCAAGTGGAAGAAAATTGAAATTTTAAAAATAAAGATCTGTCATGTTTTTTGGAGAAAGTGGAATGTACTGTAATCAGTAGAAATGCCAAATCCTCGAGAAGTCAGTCAAGGCCATATTTATCTTTAATAATCGGCTGAATTTGAAAAAAGTGTATAGTTTCAATTCCCCTCATTATTTGTCATGAGGAATTCAAAAGTGGTCGTTGAGTGTCTGATTGCCTGAAAAGCTAGTGCAGAAAGATCAGGCAGTACCGCACTTTCCTTCTTCAACACGGACTCTCATTTTCTTTTTGGCCAGTCCGCTGTGGACTACAGAGAGGTAGAGCTCTACTTGACAACTACCTTCAAGGAACAGTCTTAACAATGTGAATGTGTCTAGTCTAAGGATGAGCTCTTCAGGCTATCAGATTGTTAGCTTTTTCTCTTTGCGTAGATTTCTCTGACTGTCCTGATTGAAAATTGTACCTACTGTTCTCATCTGAGCAGACAAATTCCTCCTTGATTGAGTCTGTGGCAAATAATTTTCACTGTAATACAGTGCGACAGAGAATCTACCAGCTTGAAGACAACTGATCTTCTATTGTACTCTAGAAGTGTGTGAAATTATTTAGCGCTAACACGTGGCGCGCTCCCGATTCAACAGGGCTATTCAGACAAAACCTATGCATGAATCAAGCTATACTTCCAGTTCTGTACGTCAATAAGGACAACATAATTGTACAGAGAGCTAAAATGGAGATGAAATTGAATATTCAAGAATTTTACCTTGGTTTTGTCCTTTTCTTTACTCAGGGTTATGATTTCTCTAAGAAGTGCTTTCTTTCCACTGATTAACGCAGATAAACTGGGGCTTTCTTCGTCGCTGCTCATCATGGAAGTGACTTGGCTACTTCCAGTGATGAAGGAAAATTTATAACTTTACACTTTCTGGAGGTTTAAACTGAGAAAGCATCTGTGAAAGCACGAAAGTGTACGAATTTACGAAAGGCACATAGAAAGGCACGAGTTTGGCCGTTGAGTTTGAGTAATGATAAAAGTGATGAACAAACACGTTTAAACTTGCGGCCTTGGGCGCTCTTGGGCTTGATTGCCAGGTGTTCTTCGAAAAACTGATTTAAATTATGAATTTTTATTTTGAGAGTTTGAACATTTTCCGCAAGTCTTTTCAGCTCATAAAAATTTTTAAGAGTACTCTAAATCTAATTTTTCTGCAATATTCATTGCTGATTGTGGAGAGAAGTCTGTTTAAATCAGCTCATGTTGAGAAAACTTAAAAACAAGATTATAATGTGCCATTTGGTAACGTGTAAATTTGATCAGTGATAAGCAGTGATTGGCTAGAGTTCTACTGTCATGTGATCAGCAGCCAATAAACACGCTTTTTTGACAGCGGGATGAATGTGTCGAACAGTAGTTCGGTAGCCCGTTCGACTAAGTTCGACACATTCACCCCGCTTTTTAGACTCGATTTGTTAGTTCTGGAGTTCTGTTGCGCACTCGCGCACTCTGTGTTTTGTTGACCCAAGATTCGCCTGAAAAAAAATTGATGACGGCGTACGAAGGTGATGTTTTGGAGTATGTGCCCTGTGTTCGTGAAGTCCAAAATTCCTGTCCAGTATTACAATCTGAAAAGTTTGTTCATTCCAAGTGAAATACATGAGTGAAATTGTGTGTCAGGAAATGAATGAGTGATCAACCGTTTTGAGTTTCTCGCGAAAGTTAGCCTTTTTCTGCATTCTCTAGACCACCTACTTAGTCCACCTGAGGAATGTTTAAATTATGCCCACATCTTTTTTAAGCATTTTCTTTAACCTCAAACTCTTCGAAAATGCACGTTTTATTACACTGATGGAGTAGTTAAAAATATTACAGCTTGAAAGCTATGTCTCACCTCCCTGGTTAATCGTTGAAAATCAAGTGCGCAAGGACCCCAATCATGAGCCCCGAGTGTAGCTATTCATTCTAGCCTTTATATCCTTGGCTTCAATCTTCAGAGCCAACACTTCAAAACAGGATTCACGTAATGGCCTTTAAACAGGTAAGCCTCCCAAGAAAAGATAATTTCTGAAATGAGCTGTTGATTCCTCAAATCTATTATGTTACATGTACCAAATGAGCAATCATCTTTCACGGAGTATTCTTTTCCCTGAACTCATCTTGCATCGACAGACTGATGCTGAAAAGAGATTATCTCATCTCTGTATTCTCTTATGGTGAAGCAGCCCCGCGCTCCATTAAACCTTGTTCGGATCGAACCTTCTTCTCCTTTCCGCGTTGTATCGTAACCTCTGTCTGAAGCACCGTCTGTTAGGATGAACTTCACTCCGTTGAAATCAGTGTTATTTCCTTCTTCCTCCCAAACAAATAGCTATAGTAAGTAATACTCTCCTCCCTCATCTGTGCTGAGACTTGATGCATGATGCATAGCATTTTTGTAAAGGTCCATTTGATGCGCAGAGTGCCCTTCAGTAACAAAGATACCAAGTCAAGTTCCTAAGAGACCCTTTAGTGATTAATGTATCAGAAGTTTGTAACTTTCATCAATCTTGCAACTACGGTCTTAAGAACTAGTAAGATGATTCTGGTGTGCCAAATTTTATTGCAAAGCTAGTTTTCTTCATCACATTGCATGGTTTGTCTGCGTCTCAAACTTCAGTTGGTGAGAATTTGAACCGACGGTGGCAAGATTTTTATCTTCTTTATTTATTTACCATTGTCATAAGCTTTGTATGGGATCGAAGTTCCGTTGTCATTGTTTTTTCTCTGTTCAACAATCTGTGTCTGTTTGCCCTAGGCTGAGAAATGCAGAGCATTCAGAGTCTAAATTAAGGATCTTGTGAATCAAAATCATTTATTTCATGAACTAATATGTCTATTGAGACAAAGATTCTTTTTCTTGTCATACGAAGATCATTCCTAAATCGCATGAGCTATCTCTTTTTGGCCACCAGCAACTACACTTTCTTAAGGCTCTGAATTAATAGTTTCAACACAGTTCAAGTGTTGCTCATTTGCCCATTGATATTTTAAATCCCTATTGATTTTTGGCTTAGAATCTCTTACTCTGAACAATTGCCATGATTCTTGCTGATACCTTATAAAACTCTTTAGACTTCTTCTCTACCTACAAAAAACGAAGAGTGCTAGAAATTTTTAAGGAGCTCAAAAAACCTAACACATTAAAAATATGAATAAGTAGGTTGGTTTTTGACTGTTTCTCCTCTAGTTAAATCTTTGCAAAATTTCCATCATAATAATTTGTACTAAATCAATAGGCATTCATAAAATTTTATTCCAGGAAAATATTCCAGTATTATTCCTGTCATGTTCTGAATGAAAAATGGGCCAGAGTTTTTAATGCACTTATCAATAATTGACATCTGACATCCTTGTTATTTGGCCTGCTGCTCCCTTATTTGCAGAATGATGAGTCGGTATCATTTATCTCAACTTCAGTGTGATGTACCCACTGCATATCAATGCTGATCCTTGAGTTAAATGGGATGTCTTTGCATCATACTGCCAATTAAATTAATGTGAGGCTGGATTTCGGCATTTATCTCTAGATGAGCCAATTAGGAATGACTGATGACATGATGATACTCATTCAGTTACGCCATTTCCAAAGAACTTCTATTGAGAAAATGTTGAGCAAATTTCTAGCTTCAACTTCTCCCTTTTAGCTAGATATAATACAAGGATATACATGTACTAAAATGGCATGATAGTTCAGGCAAATTCTCAACTCAAAAACTCATCTACCCTCCAAATTTTTTATGGTTTCTTCAACATGCCTGTTTTGGATAGAATTTTCTCTATTATTCAGTAAAACCCCTTACTCACTCAACTTATTGTTTTCTTTTGTCTCAGAGAGTGGATCCTGAATTGATCTTCACAAAACAAGAGCGCATTGGAAAAGGGTCATTTGGTGAAGTATTCAAAGGCATTGATAACCGAACGCAGCAAGTAGTTGCCATCAAAATAATAGACCTAGAAGAAGCTGAAGATGAGATTGAAGATATTCAACAAGAAATTATGGTTCTCTCTCAGTGTGACAGTCCATTTGTTACCAAATATTATGGCTCCTACTTGAAGGTAAGAAATTCTAGGGGTTTACTCATTTTTTTAAAGACTACTTAATAAGTGGGAGAATTTATTCACAATCGTGAAATATTTTCATTGATTATTGAGTTACTAAAATGCCACAAAATGCTTAACGTGTATAGTGATTAACTTTTAAGAAACTGTAATGTTACTTGGGTGGGCCTCTGTAGGGTGCCCTTGCTCCAAGACGAAGGGGAAGAGGATGAAAACACGAAACACAAAAATATAAGGGATGAACTCTGTACTTCAACGTGAGAAAAGTGGAGGAGCCAGCCGAGGCCTGGCCTCCAAGAGGTACAATCGAACTCTCTCTGCTGCTGAACTGTAACTCTGGCGATCGGATCCTCTGGTCTCCTTAGCTCATAACGGTGACCAGCTAATGGCTCCAGATATGAATGAAGGGCAAGGGTTGAGGGTGATTAGTCCGGACCCCGCGCGGAACGATGGGATAGAAAGTGCAGAGTCCGGTGATATGACGTAAGAAGAGAAAGCATGCGAATAGGTGGAATGTCCTGAGACCGGATATGAGGTATAAATGTAAGAGTGTAAGTGATGATGGAAGATAGGTATAGATAGATATAGGTATAGATAGATATAGGTATAGATAGATATAGGTATAGATAGATATAGGTATAGATAGATATAGGCATGTTGGGGCACACAACAAAACGATCCTTTAAAATCATTGATTGTTTTTTTTCCAGGGTTCAAAGCTATGGATCATCATGGAATATTTGGGTGGGGGGTCTGCTTTAGACTTAATGAATGCTGGCAATTTCGAAGAAATGCACATAGCCATCATATTGCGAGAACTGCTGAAAGGCTTGGACTACTTGCATAGCGAAAGAAAGCTCCATCGAGACATCAAAGGTACCTTTTTGTATTTATTTTCTACCCCTTATAAGTTTTCCCCAGGATTCTCCCCCCTTTCAAAATCATTGCTCAACATTTTCAATTCAATACATTTCTCAGAGTGCAATGAAACCTCTCATGAGTGTGTACTTGCGGAGAATAAAAAATCGCGCAGCCATCAGAAATGCCCGGCCACTAAAGGCCTAACTGAAAAGTTGAATGTCATTCCAGAGAAAGGCACTGTACTATTAGTGTGGCCCAATTATACTTGGCAAAATTTATTTTGTGAAATTTTTTGGTCTTCCCCCTAGAACTGATCCATTTGATCCAAAAACACTCTCTGCCAAGTTTTAGCTAAAGCTGAGTGCATCATGATTTGATCATTTCTGGTCATTCTTGAGGTCTATCACAGGCTTAAACATGGATCTGAGGGCCAATTTTGGTGAGAAATGCTGTTTTTTGGCATCCGACTGCAAACCTGCAAAATTGGCATTCAAATACATGTTTAGGAAAAGGCATGACCAAAATGACCAAATCATGATGCATTCCTTAAAATTTAGACTGTCAATGAGCAAGAAATCTTAGAATGAAGGAAATTTTTCTAGAGGAGGCCCAATAGTTAGGATGATTTAATCCAAGTTATATTTGTATTTTCCTCGTGCCTTTCAATGAAAAGAATCAATTTACCTACTTAGATGCTGCGCATTTGAGTCATGCTATGTAGTTTTTTCTCCAATAAGTAAGTAGGTTATCAGTGAATTGTTCTATTCTACTCTTTTCTATTTTTTTTTAGCTGCCAATGTCCTGTTAAGTGAGATGGGTGATGTCAAGTTAGCTGACTTCGGTGTCGCTGGGCAGTTGACGAATACAACCAGCAAGCGGAGCACTTTTGTGGGTACTCCATTTTGGATGGCACCAGAAGTTATCAAACAATCCGCTTATGATTCCAAGGTGTGTACACTTTTTTGTTACTTGTGATCTGCGGTGTTTTTATTTTTTGCTGCATTTTAGGCCTGAGGTAAAGCAGCACTCACTTGGGGAGAAACCAAAAATCAAAATTTAAAGACTTATTAGAGGGGGGGGATAAGGGTAAAATATGTTTAATTTCCACAGATTTTAGTAGGAGAAAAGCAAGGAGTGTGCTGAAAGTCCCTGAAAATAAATAAATGAAAAATCATAGCTCAGTGCCTACTCCAAAATTGATGATCAATTCATTAATTTAAGTATAGGTCTTTTTGCCAATATGTGCGTCACCCTATTCTATTTTTGACACAATCGCGTCGTCCAGTAGTTTCTGTAGCCCTAAAGCTCTTTTTACGAAATGCTTTGAATTCCTTTATGTAAGGTGTTTTGTGTTTACATATTTTAGGTGATATTTTCATCAGATCAGCAGTATTCTCAGCTTATAATTATTGTCTAGTTACTTAGCAACTATTATTTTGAGTCACTTTTTTTTAATTATTTGTATCTGTTTTAATTTCTCGTTTCTCATTAAAACTCCGTAAACTCTGTATAAAAATCATATGCCAAGTAGTGTATTAAATGAATCAATAATTTCCTTTTTTTTCTCCCTTACAGGCTGACATCTGGTCATTAGGTATTACAGCTATAGAACTTGCTAAAGGAGAACCACCCAACTCTGAACTGCATCCGATGCGAGTTTTATTTTTAATTCCCAAAAACAACCCCCCGCAGCTTACTGGCAGCTATTCTAAACAATTCAAGGAGTTTGTCGAGGCTTGCCTCAATAAAGATCCTGAAAATGTAAGTATCAAGTTGGTCTACACTAATGATCAGGAAAGAACTCAGTCATAGAGTGCAAGCATGTATCTATTTATTTTTTCCAGACTAATTTTGTAATTTATTGCTTCATTGCCGTTGAATAGAGAAAAATTCACAATAATATTGTTGATTTCTTAGAATTTCTTTCTTCTGCTTTCAGGCATGAATGTAGTTTTAAGTGGTTTCTCCAATTCTTCTCTAAGACTTCACATTTGAGGGTTTCCAGCAGTCTGGAAAAGCTGGAAAGTCAAGAGATTATGCAAATAGCTTATCAATTCAGTAATTCGAGCTGGTGCCATTCAAGAGAGAAGAAACAACTTCAAGCAAAGTGATTATTTACATAATTTGAATCTCTAGAAATGGAAGTTTCATTTAAAGTTTAGCTGAAGTCAGCATAATTAAAAGAGGAAAAATTCAAGTGAAAATTTTGTCCGAAGATCCGGAAATTTCGGAGTTGGGGGAGGAGTCAAGAAGTCTTAAAATGAAGAAATTATGAAAACCCTGCATTTATATACTTATCATCAACCTTTTTAAAGACCTCCCTGCTCTCTGTTTTCTTTAAACTTTCACTACTTCTATTTTCCAGAGACCCACAGCTAAGGAATTGCTAAAATTCACTTTTATTCGCAAAGCGAAGAAAAACTCATTTTTAATTGATTTAATCGACCGGTATAAGAAATGGAAATCACAGCGCAGTGAAGGAAGTGAAACAGAATCAGAAAATTCAGACATGTAAGTATTTTCTCAATTCATTTGAAAGCAAAAACTTCCTCTTTCAAAAGAGGGACATTGAATCTCTATGACAAGAGGGAGCTCAGTGCGAAGAGGCAACTTTTTTCATAGAAAGTTTTTTGTGGAGTTAAGTCAAAAGATCAGAAATGTGACCTAATTATCAGCCAAACATTTGTCCATCAGGGAGTGGAACGCCTTCCTTTCCCATTCATTTAACTTGTACTCTAGGTATAACTTGAATAATCTCGGTGACCAACGGCAGCCTTGTTTCAAGTCTTGCATACAACTGTCTTAGCTGTGAAGTCTCTGACATTCGCTAGCAACGAGTCTCTGCAACAAACTGCCCAAATGAATCAAAGAAATCGAAGACTCTAAGGCCTATATCAACAACGCCAAAATCTATTCAGTACCAAAGCATGCTAAACTCTAGAAGAATTATTAACAGTTAATTTATCATCGCAAGTAGTTGTGAACTCATTGACTCATACCACAACAATGCTTAAATTTTTTGCCTGCACCAATGTACTTCTATTAATAAAAAATATAATGTCTGTTAATTTGACAATTAAAGCATATAGAGTCAATGATGCATGGATGTTTGAGGGTACTGATTTTTTTTACAGGGAGGATTCCGGAAAGGCTGATAATGATGTGGATGAGCCATGGATAATGACTGTAAAGGGCCCACGCTCTGCCAAATCCCCACCAGGAGAAAGTCACAATGGCTCATGTTATACGTGTACAAAAGTAAGTGTTGCCTTATTTTTCAACAAAATTCATTCAACAATTAAATGTGTAATTGTTTTGGCTCTTTTCAAAGAAAGTAGAGTACCTTCGTAGGGAGAGAATGGACACTGGGCCTCATGGAGGGTTTAAGGCCCAAAAATGGTGGAGTTTTGAAAATGGGAGGTGGGTTATTGTCAACTTTTGACCATATCACCAACCGCACTTGCTGCCAACCTTATTACATATATCCAAAATGATGTTTCTCAAAAGTAGTATGATGATTAGCTGTAAAACAGTGTACATATGCTGTAATAATGCCTTTGAGTAAAGTTTTCATTCCAATATGCAAATAAAACCAGGTACATTGTGAGTCATTTTGTAATTACATTTACTTACTGTGTCCGCCATTTTGGGGCCCTAGAAAACCCCATTCAGCCATGATGGCTGAGCCGATCAGAGGTGGTAACCGCAGTGACCATACTCCCATGAAGGTACTCTAAAAGAAAGCAGATTAACTTATTTTTAAACCGTTGAAGGGAGGGGGGGTATTTTTAAACAGTTGAAGGGAGGGGGGGGGGACATGAAGCCAATATTGCCGAATCTAGATTCAACACTACTGGGTCAATCGCAAGGAATTTTTTCAGGGTTATGGTGTATTTTTTCTTTTGTAAAATTTTGTGGCATAACCCAAAAATCCATTAAAGAGTCCCAAAAATTATTTCTACGGGAAGATTAAGCTTATCGAAAGCCGACGGTCGAGTTGACATAGCAAGGCAATGCCTAAAGATGAGGTCAGCCAATCTGCAAACTTCGTTTCCCCCCTGGCTACATCATCAATGCCCAACAAAAATATCTTTTCAAGCAGGTCCCGTTTTTGGCAATTTCAAAACGGAGTTTCTTTGCCATTTAGGTTTTAAAAAAAATCGGAAAAAATTCCCCGGAGCTTAATTCACTCTGTTCTTTCAGAAAATGAATTAGATACAAGAAATGGGTGCTACTGACCGATTGCTTCAAGATGTCTCAAATGACGGACATAGGTTGCATTACAAGTATTCAACAACCATATTTTTTCAAGCAAATTAGCAAAAGTATTGAATCTCTTTTTGCCCTAAATTTTGCCAAGATACTGTTTTTTTACGGATGACATCTACTGTCATGCCCTTCGAGATCATCAGTATTTTTCTCATCATGCAACTAAAAAACAAAACGGTTACAAATCAAATTTGATAGTTTGGCACCCTCTAAAGTAAACACATCCAATAACAGAGTGGACTTGCGTGGCAAAAAAGTGTCCTTTTGCAACTGTGATCAGGGAACGGTTGATATTCTTCATGAGTTGGTTGTTGATGGCAGTTGGATTTGCCAAACTTCTGAGAGGAACATTTGTTGTCAGCATAAATAATTCATCAAGTAAAGGCGAGATACAAAGCGCAAGAGCCAAATCAGCCAGCTGCAACTGGCAGCAAACGGTCACAACTACACTTTGAGAAAAGCCCAGGAAAGCATGGATGACAGGCTTCATCGCAAAATTTAGTTACGTCCTTATGTCAGGATGGTGACAATCTGCCTTGCTAAGGAAGAATGCCGTATGAACCTTCAGGCATTGCCAAATTTTCTTTGATAAAACACGAATTCCCTGGTAAACTTATGAATATTTTTCTTCCAATTTTTCAGAGAATTTTGTTCATATTTTGATACAAAATTCCTGAAAATTTCAAGAAAAAATGTTCATAATTTTCCTCAAAAATAAACATTTTATCAAAGAAAATTTGGCAACTCTCGAATGCTCATACAGCGTTTTTGCTTAGCACAGCAGAATAAGTCTATTGGGTTTATTAATTCATTCAATTTTTAGCTCATTTTATCCTTTTAATTGAAAGTTATTTGTTTGTATTTTCAGCCGAAGTTGCTTTATGTGAAGGACCGTGAGTCATCAAGTCTCAACAGGTCTCCTAAAATAGGTGTACCTCCTCCTGGAGAAAATTCTAGTGAATCAAGCCTTACAACTTCTTCACCGTGCCTATCTTACCTTATTTATCCTTTAATTTCCAAAGTAAGTGTTTTCCAAATTGAATGAATGTTTACTTCTCACTTTCCACAGAAATCTGAACCAAGAAGTCCGATTTTGATGTAGTAATTTAGAGAGCACTACACTGTTTTATAGCTTTGCTACCATCCATCATAAAAGAGCGTATTATCGATAATTAATTTAGCAACTTGTTCTGAGTGCAGAGCTTGCAACTTCTTCTAGCGATAGTTTTTTCAGTGAACACATACTAAACTTCTTTCAAAAGAAAATTCGAATCAGCCATGAGACTCAGTCAAAAATTCAGTTTTTAACTCATGTTGCAGGGATGAATTTTATGTTTTGTGTTGTCAAGTTTTGCTCAAAGATAATTTTCGACAAGTTTTATTCAAAACTGCCCCTGATTTAGTTTTTCGGAAAATGTAAGTTTCCTTTTTCTGCTTGATGCGGTCCAAACATAGATTGATCTTACTGAGTAAATATGAAGCTCATGAGTAAAAGTATTTTAAATCCATTGCTTTTACGATAATAGTTCATGTGAATTTTTTAAAAATTCAATTTTAACTTTTTAAATTCCCAAAATTTTACAGAACGGCAAGAAATCGGGGGTCTTCTCCATGAAACCTCAACATTTTTTCATCCAGCGACATGTCTACACCTTCTTAATTTTTTCCCCCTATTTTTTTCTTCCTGGTAAAAATTTGATTCCTGAAGCATGTGTTAAGCCCTCAAAAATTCTCAGCAAAGTCCAAAAATGTTTGGTTGAAAAAATCTAGAATGTTAGTGTAGTAGAATCTTTTTTTATTCTGGCGGAAAGATCCAGTCTTTTATGCAACTTTTGAGGCCTCGTGTGCAGAAAAAGAGGGGTCTGTTCAACAAAATGGCACAAAACTAAGTGTTCTTCAAAAGAAAAGCAAGATTTTTCCAGACAATTGTACGATTGTGAATAACTTTTCTGAAAATTTTGCTTGGCACGGAGCTAGTTTACATTCTTACCAAAATTAAGTGAAAAGCTTTTTGACAGATTAATGCCTTTCAAACACCAGGACTTTTAAGAATAGTGAAGCTCCAACTTTGCCGATGTTCGGCAAATCTTGGGCCAAGAGACACTTCTTTAAAGAAGCAGATGACTTTTTTATTTTATTTAACAAATTTTGGAGAGATGGGGAATTGTGATCCTACCAATAAAAAAATTTCCCTCAGTAACTTCTGCTTATTGTTATCATATTTTACAATTGTGGAACTTTTTTCAGCTCCAAAGATTACCACAGTATTCTAACTCTGGCCAAGAAGCGTCCCACAAAACAGATGCCATCGAAGAATTAAAAAACGCATTCGAAGTCGCCGATCGATCATGCCCTTTCACTTCCGTATTCATTGTCTCGGACATGATCCGCAAACTGCTGCCATCCATGCCTGAAAATAGGTTGCATGCTGTTGTCGATAGACTAACGAGGTAAGTTCGACTATCTCTTCCTATCAATTCCTTTTTATGAATCTTCAGATGACAATGACAGTAGTACATATTAGTGGTTTAGCCAACGTCCTATGTTTTAGCGCCATCTATTTCTAATCCATTAAAGCCTTAGAGCTGCTCACTAAAATCTTGGGAATTTTGGACAGAAAGGCTTATTCATAAAAACCGACGGTGAGACCTCAATTATCCGGGTGCACTAATTATTTGGTTTTGCAAATACCTGGACTGAATTTTTGCTAAAAATTTCAGGAAATCAAAAACTATCCTGAAACTGGTAATTAATTCAGAAAATCCGTTAGTCAATTTCACTGATTTTGATTTAAATTGCATGGATTTTTTCAACATTTCATTAAAAGGCAGTGGAAATTTTGGGTGCTTCAAACGGGTGTGGGGGGGGTGGTTGTCCCAAGAACAGGAAGAGAGGCAAAGCAGGACTTGAACGTTTCCTTGGACACTACTTGTATTCACCTATCTCAGGTTTTTTCAATGCCCTACATCAATCAAAGAATACAAATACCTTTTGGATTTGATATACATTTTTAGTAAGCAATTGCTGCGGAATATTTTCATTGCACAGCCCTCAAAACCTGCACGAGAAATTATTTAACACCTCTAGTATATCATTCATTCAAATGCTGTTTTCACCCTTTTTGTTAATTGTGTATTTTCTTTTTTTTCAGTGATCCTTCCGCAAAGTCTGATTATATCGCAGCTCTCAATTCATCGCAGTCAAAATAAACCACTCATTTATTTATTTTTTCTCCAAAGTGGCATTCCAATTCGGTAAAATTACCAGAGGTATTAATTTGCCTGTAAATCGTTTTGTTTTGTTTTAAAAATATACTAGTAGAAAAATCAATTACTGCTCGACAAAATTCCTCTAGTAGGAATTAAATCTTCTAGCTGAATCAAATCATTGTTGTTAGAGAGTATACATTTTCATCATTTGAAATTATCTTGAATCAGCTGTGCTTTAATCCTTTTTGCCCTATTCATCAGCCGCATAATTAGATTCCCTTCCGTTTTAAGGTTACAAGGTTGCCATGTTCTATGATTAAATGTGAATTTTTTACATAGGTTGAAGTTGGTAAAGTGCTGATTTTTAGCACTATGTGGCAACCACGCAAGCCGCCAAAGGTGATAAAGAGCTGAAAGAAAATTTTGGTGGCCGGGTTCTAATTTAGTAGCCCATGTTTGCCTGTGGCGACTTTTCCGATTTTAGGGAGGAGGGTGTAATTCGTTTTTCTTTATTAATTCTTTATGCTGTTCTGTTATACTTGTGTTTATATGATTCATTTTAAAACTGTTGTAAAAAAACAAAAAAACGTTAAAAAGATAAATGTAAAGAGAAGATACATAAGAGTATTTTTCTAGGTCAAAAAGAGAGGTACACCGCCTTGTACATCTAGTTTGTTATAACTGACTTTAATAATTTTGTTGAAAAAAAGTGTAATAATTTTATTTTGTTTTATTCAGTATCAGCAACTTGGAGCTTAGAATATTTCAATTTCCCATATATTTTTCCTAAGTATAGACTTTTAATATTATTATATTTTTTTTAGCGATTCCATTACCTATCTCTATCAATTTTCTTGTCCTCTTCCTAATTTCCAAATTCCCAAACCTGTATCTTCATTCAGGGTTGCCATGGTCAGAGAAAACAGGGAATTTTGAAAAGTTAGGGAAAACCTAGTAATGCCAGGGAAATTGACAAAAGTGTCAGGGAAAAATTGTTGAGTCGCCTCTGTATGCTTTCTAGAAAAGGCTTGACGTTTCAAAGAACAGATTTTGTGTCAAAACTATTGCAAATTATGTATTTTTAACCATTGGGCATACCTTCAATTTTAAAGGAATTTTACCAAAATGTGACACTGAAATCAGAGGCATGTCAGGAACTTTGATTTTCTAAATTCTGTGGCAATCCTGTTTTCATTATTCACTCATGTATCATTGTAACTAGAGGATGTTGTCTGATCTTAGCAGCATTTTAATTCACAAGATTTCAAAAGTTCTCCGCTGCCTTCAATCTGCTTCCTTTGTTTTGGTTGCTTGTAAAAATGTAGTATTTAATCAAATTAATCAAAACAATCCGTAAACAATTAAACAAGACAAAAAACTGTATTTAAAGTTTCAGAATACTTAAAAATAAATTTAACCTGTAAAAATTAGATTAAATTAAACAAATAAAAGTCTTACTCAAACCTCCACTCCTGAATTTTCATTTTTTTAATCTTGGTAACCAATCAGCAAACATTTTAGTTACCGACACAAATTGTAGGAGGGAGAATCCTAGACGAAGTCATTTGTTCCAGTTTAGTTATCCCTGCAACTTTGGTACAATCACATAGCATCGGAGTATCCTTATTTCCTCAATTATTAAATTTTACAAGTCCCTGTGAAATATTTAATGAAATTCACAAAAGACATGAATGTATGTTGTATACATTTCAAATTTTACATCATCAGTCCAATGCCAAAGAATGTGATCAGAATGCTTCCAGCAATGTATGTATGTATGAGCCGCTTTTACGGCGCGCTAGGGCGCTCTGCGACGCCTATACTCTCCACAGGAATCTGTCATGGTAGAGATCCTCCGGAAGCTGGCATCTCTCCATCTCTTCACGGATGCCCTCTACCCACCGTTTGGCTGGACGCCCTCTCCGTCGCCTACCTGGGGGGACCCACATATGAGCACAACACACATATGAGCATAATGATACATATTGCTTCCAGCAATATGTATCATTTTAATCACTGGTTCCTATGCAAAAATCCCAGAATTCATTGCATGGACTGTCTTTTTTTTTTTTTTTTTTTGGTTGGGTTGGTTACTTCTCCATTTAAGATCAACAGGAGAGAGCGAGTGCCCCATGGGTTGCTTATCCAGCCTATGAAAAGTATATCAAGTAGCGTTAAACCCGCATCATACGATCAAAACAGAGCTCTCTAAGTGGCGTTACGTTCAAAGATTGTCGGGCTGACAATCTTTGAGGGCAATGGAGGGTCGTTTGACCTCACATGACGCCATTTCGAGAGCTCTACTTTTATCGAATAAAACAGGCTTTAACCGTCGAAAAAAGATGAAAAACTCGTGGCTTTTAATGATAAAACTGACAGCCCTGCAATGAAAATCTGTAGTAGTTTATTTCATTGACACAATAATCAACGCTGAACGTAAGTCGATGTGTGAGAGAAAAGTCAAGTGCACCCAGCTAGTGACGCCTGCAACGAGCATACCGAATTTCATTAAAGCGCCTTGATGCAACTATTCGGGCTCCGTGGATGTCCGTGTTGCATACCCACGAAAGTGAAGGGGTTTTGAGTCTCCAGGCACTTACCGCTTCTTACTGCGAGGATCTAAAATGACGGAGCTTCTTTATGCGTATGTACCACGGACGTCCATGCTGCCACACTTAGGAAAAACGCCGTATGAACATTCGAGAGTTGCCAAATTCCCTCCGATAAAATGTTTATTTTTGAGGAGAGTTCTGAATATTTTCTCTTGAAATTTTCAGATAATTTAGATCTGGTCGCGAATAAATTTCTCTGAAAAATCCGAAGAAAACTGTTCATAGAATCCCCTGAAAATTAATGTTTTATACATCGATATTTGGCAACGTCTGAAGGCTCATACGGCGTTCTTCATTAGCACGGTAGCATGGAGCCCGAATAAGTGTATCCAGGAGTCTGGATGAAATTACAGTCCAGTGTCCGTCGCATGCGCCACTAACTAAGACGCTATGCTCGTCTCTCTCACTTCTTAACTTAATTCCAGCGTTGCCTATTGTGATATAGTATTACTGATTTTTATAGCGACGTTGTGAATTTTCTGAAAATTTGAATTCGTCCTTTGTTTGGATTCTTTTTCTTTTAGGCAGTACGTTCGACGTGTGAGTACAAAATGTTCAAAATTTAACAGTTAATGCTACTAGGGATGTACTAATACATTCTCCATCAGACTTGCACAGCCCTCCCCAAATTGCAGTGATCGCGATAAATAGCGATTTTATCGGTTGGTTATCGTGATATATCGGTGGCAATATATCGAGATACTATCGCATTAAAAATCGCGATGTATGGCGATTAAATTGCTACAAATCGCAATTTTTGGTTCGATGAAATCGAGATTAAATCGCCATTACCTAATCCTGACTTTTATTTCGACGAAATCGCGATAAATTTTCGGGCGATAAAAGTCGTGCGATAAGATCGAGGATAATATCGCTCAGATGTTGATGGTCCTGGCGATATTATCGCCGATAAAATCGCAATATATGCAGGGCCGGATTAAGGGGGTGGCCACATGGGCCGCAAATGGCCCATGGCGGCAAATTTAGGGGGCGGCAAATGTTGTAATTTTTTCAAATGTAGGTATCAAGAAAAAAATCTGATTCAGAAAAAAAAAAATCACAAATGAGGAAAGGCGAAAAAATCTCTCATATCCTGAGAGTTAAAGTATAGTAATTTATAATTTGTTCGTCTTTCGGTGATACAAGAGACAGCGCCTTTTATTAGTAGTTGAGAGAGAAACCAAACACGCAATTTGGCCTGGAGCGGCAAGGCGCAGAGAACAACGATGGCAAAAACTTTAGATGGAAAGGAGAAGCCCTATCGGCGCACCGGTCAGCATAAAACACATATAGCGCCTACAAGACTCTATGAATACTTCACGCATTGTGTCAAACGTAGTGCGGTCAACAGCGCAGCGGTTGGCGTGAAACTCATAGTGCCTACAAGACTGTAGGGATACTTCACGCATTGCGCCAAACACAGTGCGGTTGGCGCGGTGGCGGAAATTAAGATCATTAGACCACATTCATGTTTATTCTTATTCATAATTTTTTCATTCTTTTCTTAATGAAAGGCATCGTCCACACAGAGATGGGTCTACGGAACTTAATTTTCTAGCAAAGTTCCGTGAACTTTTGTTAGTGTTGACAGGGCTTTCACAAAAAATGTGCCAAACGCGAGTAAACGCGTCTTATGTGCCCCTCTCCTTCGGCACGTTCACCTGATGGTTTCTATGGATGTTTCAAAACGCATGAGATGGGGCGGCAAGAAGGTAAACCCGGCCCTGAATATATAGCGATTTTTCCGTTGAGAAATGCTACTTTGTCGTGAAAGTCATGAAATATCTCGCTGAAATGTCACAGCTTTTCAAAAGAGGGTGGCAGGGGGGGGGGGGGGGTGTCGATCGACGTTCGAAAAAATCCGTGAATCGATCGACAACACAGTGAATTGGTGGAATTTTATGCGATCACTGTCGATCCTTTTGCTTGCTTTTTGTCGCGGTTTGTGGGTGTCCTCTTTGTCCTTCGATCGACTCATGCATGTTGGTCAGATTCATTCCCTCCAAATGGACTGCGTTAGCAGAAAGGAACCAAGGCCACATCAGCCATTGCCAAATTCAGTGGACCACTAGACAAGGTACGCATTTAAGCAATCTGATACATGTTTCTTAGCCAGAATTTCACGCAGAACACGATTCGCGCAACGAAAATTACTGAAACCAACCCCTAACGGAGATATTAACATTTTTATTTCACATTGGTTACAAGGAATTTGAACTGCCCGCTCACAAGAAACTCAAAGCTCTACGTGAGTCAAATCGCGCACTACATCGGTTTCAGCAAGCTTCTCAATCGAGCAATATTCATTTCCCACCATGTGTTGTTCAAACTATGGACAATTTGCTACAGCTGAGCCAAAGCGTCAACATTAAGGTTGCCAGATTTTTATATTGCAGAGACTGTCATGATAACGTTTAGCGCGCGATGTGACTCACGTAGAGCATTGAGTTTTCATGAGCGGGTGGTTTGAATTCACGCATCAAGAATCATCAAATATCTTCGTAAGGAGTTAATTTCGATAATTTTCTTTGTGCGCATCGTGTTCTACGTGAAAATTTAGTTACGAAACATCTATCAGAATGCTGAAATTCGTGCCTTGTCTAGTGGTCCATTGGGCAATTTAATTTCTTTACAAAAGAACATTTGTGCGGATTCCTTTGAACATTTTTAGGGGTTTGCTTCGTATTATGCAGAAAATTCACTAAAATTGGCACACAAAATCGCACAACTGTTTCTATGTAAAAAATTAAATTGCCCCGTTGAATTTGGCAATAGCGATGTGGCTTGGTTCCTTTGTGCTTGAAAACGCAGTCCAAATATGCTCACTTTTTAAACCGTGCGTTAAAATCTTCAAAGTTTTATATGATTTTTTTCGATCGAATCGCTGTGGATCGGTTCACGATTTTATTTTTCGATCAATTCGTGTCGATCGAATCGAGATCGACACGGACTTTTTAATCATCTGTCGATTGAGTCACGTTTTTTTTCTCGATCGATTCATGTCAATCGAATCCATACCCTCCTTTCCAATCTCTTTTCCTGTCAAGACACCCTCTGCCGTGCTCGGTAAAAACGCAATATGAGCATTCGAATGCCGCCAAATTTCCCACCAGAAAATATTTATTTTTAAAGAAACACGCGAATATTCTTCTTTGAAATTTTACACTCCTTCGATCAAATTTCAAACGAAATCCTCCGAAAAATCGGAAGAGAAATATTTATGAGCATTTCCAAAAATTCGTGATCTGTCAGAGGAAATTTGGCAACGCCTGAAGGCTCATGCGGCGATTTTCCTCAGCACGGCTCACGGTGGATCGAGCCAATGGGAGAGATCGGACAAAACTTGGACACTTCAGAGGCTTATAACTCCGCTCATACAAAACTTTCGGGTTTTAAAAGTGAGTCCATCGGGTTCCTCGTGAAATGCTTCCAGTAGCACCTTCCGAACTTTAAAATGTGACGGAATAAACATCAAAATTTGCAGTTTTTGTCAAAAATTTCATGTGCGATCTCTTTAATTGACTCGATCCGCTGTGCGGCACTGCCATGCTACGGAAGAACGCCGTATGAACATTCGAGAGTTGCCAAAATTCCTTCGATAAAATGTTTATTTTTGAGGGAAGCCGTGGTTATTTTTCCTTGAAATTTTCGGGAACTTTAGGTGAAATTGCGAACAAAATTATCTGAGAAATTGGAGGAAAATTATTCACAAATTTTCCCGAAAATTCTTTATTTATTAAGGAAATTTGGCAACGCCTGAAGGCTCATACGGCGTTTTTCCTTAGCACGACAGGGCGCCCCCTGTTCTGTCTATTGCGGTCAACTTTTCTCCTCGCCCATCAAGTAGAGCCGTTTGGCTGGCTCGAAAACAGGGTGAGGGTATGCATCAGCGTAGCGGCGAGATCTTCCCTCGAACATGTCCTCGCTTTTGAATTTGAATGCGTGAGTGTGGGTGTGCGTGGGGTTGCAGGGCGCATCGCTGAAGGCGCAGAAACCGGGCCCGGGCGGTGTGTGCGGGCGGAACTTGGAGGGGTCGCCCGCGGCTTGGTTCTGTGAGTAGTGGACGTCGGTTTCCGGGACCCTCTCCCGGCTTTTGAGCTCTTTCTGCCTCCAGTCATCCGCCGAGCAACTCGAACTGTTGCTCCCGTTGTTCATGTGGAACTGGAAGCTGTACGGCCAAGTCTGCAACACAAAAATACAGGGTGGCATGAAATGTAAGAAAGACATGAAAAATTGGAAATTTCAATGAAGTTTTCAGGCCAAGTCTGCAACTCAAAAATACAGGGTGGCATGAAATGTAAGAAAGACATGAAAAATCGGAAATTTCAATGAAGTTTTCAGAGCAAGTTTGCAACACAAAAATACAGGGTGGCATGAAATGTAAGAAAGACATGGAAAATTGGAAATTTCAATGAAGTTTTCAGGCCAAGTCTGCAACACAAAAATACAGGGCGGCATGAAATGTAAGAAAGACATGAAAAATCGGACATTTCAATGAAGTATTTCATGAAATTTCAAGAAGCTGTGAAATATTTCATATTTTTTCGGCTAGAGTATGCAACCCGCACTCAAACACACAAAAAATGGAGGAAAATCGCAATTTTTATATTTTACGAAACATGAAAAGGAACCGGTATTTCTCGATATCTTTCAGAAATTTCTGAAATTTCATGAAATATTTCACGAGAAATTACAAGATTTTAATTTTTATGAAATTTTATCACCTTGCAGCAAAGGAGGTAAGTTACAAAGTTAAGAATGGAAAATTAACGACTTATGAGGGAATAGTGGTCAAGATCGCCAAAAATACTATTTTACATAATCTTGGCAACATCACAATGCGGTTATTTCTTTATTTTTTATTTCGATATTTGTAATTCATGATAAATTTTCATCAACTTCACTTGATTTGTCAGTAGATCGTTCGCCAGACGGCGTAAAAGGAGGCAAATGGTCAAAAACCGTGAAAAATGCCAATTTTGTCTTGAGCAAAAAAAATGCATAGCAACAATTTTATAGGAAATTTGACAGCTTTAATTCCGAAAATTGCTCATTTTATCCTCAGATCAACTCTTCAGTTACAGGTCATGCATAATCCGCCAAAAAAGCCAATTTTAGGCCATTTTTGCCAAGGCAACTTTCCGGTCCGACTTTTCGGGTGCGAAGTTGAAATTCGGATTCAGCGTCAAAAATAACACAGGAATCATTGAAAACATTGTCACCCGGGATTTTTTCAGGCTCTTTTCCTTATTTGCCTGGACTAATCCTCATATCATGAATGTACAAGGAAAAAGGTCATTGAGGGTCCGTTCATCGAAGACGCAACGCTCTAGAGAAAGAGGGTGACCTTCGTTAGAGAGGAGAAGTCAGGGCTGCGCAAAGACGTGATCTGCGTTGCTAAATGCTGAGATCCCCTTACGACAGCAACCTGCAACCTATACTACTAAGGAAAATCGCTACATGAACCTTCAGGCGTTGCCAAATTGCCTTTGATGAAGCACGGATCCCCTGGCAAACTTATGAATATTTTTCTTCCAATTTTTCAGATGATTTTGCTCGCACTTTCACCGAAAAGTTCTGAAAATTCAAGAGAAAATATCCATAACTTTCCTTAAAAATGAACACTTTATCGAAGGAAATTTGGCAACTCTCAAATGTTCATACGGCGTCCTACCTTGGCACGGCAGTGAGGGAAATTGGAGTTGGGGGGTGGGGGGTTGGCGATTATCACAATTGTACTGACAGTGGCGTGGCGTGCTTTGCGATATATCGATTGAGCTGTCATTAAAACCTATGGAAGAAGATAGATATACAGGGTGTTGGCAACGAGCCCCTTAATAACCGATTCTTTACCATACCTTCAAATGGGTCAAAATCTATAGTCGACCATGCACACCTCGCCACTGTGTCCTGAAAATACTGCCGTGCTAAGGAAAAACGATGTACGAACCTACAGGCGGTGCCAAATTTCCTTTGATAGATTACGAATTTGCAAAGATTGTGAATATTTTTCCTCCGATTTTTCAGATAATTTCATTCGCAGCCACATCTAAATCATCTGCAAACAATAGAAAATATTAATCAATATCCTCAAAAATTATTATTTCATCGGAGGCAATTTGGCAACTGTCGAGTTTTTATACGGCGTTTTTCCTTTGCACGGCAGAATAGCATCATTCCGAGTGACTTTAACGCCAGGCTAGAAAGAATGTCGCGGCTAACTATATCGATTTCAGTCGAAGCGAGGTCTCAATCTCACTCCTACAACCGCGTCACTGGTTCGGGATATCGGTGTTGGTGTTGGTGCAGGGATTTTATTGCTAGGCCTTGTCCACACGAACGCGGTTCGCGGAACTCAGTTCGAGGAACTTGTTCCCGGAACAAGTTTTTTGCTGAGCTGAAACTTATTCCTCCAAAACCTGGAATTTCCCCCGTGCTCCGAGCTTCTAAATATGTTTCTTTTGATGTGAATTTGCTCGTTTTTGTTTTTCACGTCCTTTACATATGATCTTGACATTTATTTTTGCTACTTTGGCGGTCATAATAATCTATTATTCTGCAATAATTGTATAGTTTTATTGAAGTTCCGGTTCCAGTTCGGACGAACCCGTGTGGACAGCATGCCTCGTTTCAAGGAATACGTTCCGGGAACTGAGCAAGTTCGAGGAATAAGTTCCGCGAACTGCGCTTGTGTGGACAAGGCCCTATGATTGAATCGGTCGTCCTCAAAAAGACTTAAGCGCCAGAAATGAGAATTCAAGAAAAACAGTAAAAGGTGTTTTATTTTAATAGACCCGTTCTAGGTCCTAGAGGTCAAAAAAATTTATGTGTGAGAAAATTGCAATTCAAATTCGGATTGTGGTTTTGTTTCAGAAATTTATGGAAGGGAAAAGAAGAAGAAAACGACTTGGCGCTTGCGTCTATTTGAGAGTGACTGGAATGTTTTAGGGCTAAAAATTCGTTTTTCTGCTCGTCACTTCGCATTAAGATGCACCCACGCCAAAGCATACTGAAAAATGCTCAATTTCGATTTTTTGGCGCTTGAGTCTCTTTGAGAATGACCGATTTAATTTTACATTTGTCTCTTTTTTTCGCTCCATACCGCGTTTAAGAACAAAGAAAATCCTAATTACCGATCACTGGAAAAAAAACACATTGGATCTAGAGTCCAGACTCTTAAAAATATCGACAAGAAAAAGTACTCTTGATTCAATCTCTCTTTTGAAGGTCAAAAATAAAAATAACGCCCAAAAAAATTACTCCCACTTGCCAATTTTTATCACTGGGAAAATAAACACATTGGATCTAGAGTCAGGACTCTTAAAAACATCGACAAGAAAAAATACTCTTGATTCAATCGAATTTTTGCTTCAATCAAGAACCAAGCCTCTTAATTTAAGCGGATTTCGTTTTGATTCAAGCAAAAATCCGATCGAATCAAGAGTATTTTTTCTTGTCAATGTTTTCAAGAGTCTGCACTCTCGATCCTATGTGTTTTTTTCCAGTGATCCTTTCCCATAGATTTGAGTGCAGATAGATCGATTCATCGAAAAGCACTCCATGCCACCACCGCGCGTCGGCTCTGTTGTTGAACTTCAAACTCTGTCGAACCCCAGTCAGTATTATTTGAACAAATGGTTTGTGCCATAAAATCATAAATCAACCCCCAAAGTGATTTCTCGTCTACACAGGATACACTCATCAGCTGGACTCGTTTTTGTAAACAATGCCGCACTCCCTAGGAAATATATTTCAGCTCTCTTTGCCAAGGCCTCTTTAAGATATACAACTTTATGGGCTCTTTATTTCATCATCATTATTCCTCACTATTTATTTCCCGACCCGAGGACGAATGAGTAATTTTTTACGTGGGAGTGGTAACTTCAAGATTGTGACAGATGTCTCTAGATTCCAGTGTCGAGCTAGCTTTGAGATATGATACAAAGCAGAATTTAAGGTGTCCAGGAAGAAGAATCAAAGGATGCAGAAATGATGAAATATGGATTATGTAGCTCAATTGAAAATGTTCCGCAGCCGAAATTCTGCAATTTTCCATGATTCTGTTGAGAGTACCAGAGTTCTAGTAAAAATTATCGGAAAATTCATCGAAAACACACTGAAAAAAAAGTAGTTAGCGTTGAGAACTAATTTGGTAAGTTCTCGCCAAGTAGAATCAAAATTAGGCTTCAGAACTAATTTATTGTACTGAAGCACCAATCAATTCGCTTCATACGCTGACTTCACTTTACTAGAGCGCGAACCAGAATTGGAAAACAGCACTAGCTGTAAAATTAGCGCTGTGGTAAGACAAATTCACCTTCGGGTCAAACTAATTCGCCCTCAACGCTAACTGCCACATTGTCCGTTACATTTATTTAGTTTCGAAAAAGTGGCGTCGGTACAACAGCCTCAATCGCGTCAGCTCGTGAAAATCAATTAAAATGTGAAATTTCGGGCTCGTTTGACAATGTAAATACTCCCGGTATGATTTATAGTGTCCTCTCTTTCTTGAAAACGTTCGAAAGCAACATAAATAAACCTGTTAAGGTTAGAAATCGTCTGTTCAATTCAAAACGTAAACAAGCATGATATTCGTTGGAGTCGTCAATCTTCTGTATTAAATTGCGATTAAAGCGTTCAGTTTATATTTTACGAAAACCTGTGAACTTACTGCTTACTTCTATAGTTCGTGTTCTCCCGTAATTTCAAAAGGCCAGGTTGGCCTAGTGGTTAGCGCGTCTGACTCTAGGTCAATAGGTCCCGGGTTCGAATCCCGGTGGTGGCGACAAATTTACATGGAACTGACGAGTGGATCTGTAAGCAGAATTCGCTCGGCCTTAATCCGTGAAAATTTGTAAGCCCGAGCATGGATGTCTACCAAATTCCCTGATGTCTTCGGACAGTAAATAGTGCCTATAGATGGCTGTAGATTCCTAAAGGAATAGAAGCCACTAAACTCTCAATAAAAAAAAAAAAAAAAAAAAAAAAAAAAAAAAGTTTTGAGGTTAGGTTGACCCAACTCTACCGAATGCGAATTAGAGTAGCGGAATTAGTTTCCAGCACTAATAGTGGTTAGTGTACAGAAACCAAAAATCATGTGTGTCCAAATCACACAATTTGAGTTAGTGTATAGAAACAATTTTTAGTCATCTGACGCTAACTCATTTTTTTCAGTGCAGTCA